ACGAGGGAGGAGGTGACGGGAGGAGGGGAGGACGAGACGAGTGGGAACGGAGCAACGTAGGGTGGGAGCGCAGGACAGGAGAGACGAGACGAGCACGGGAGGGACGGCGAGACCAAACGTGCGACGGAGGTGTAGGGTCAGGAGACAGTGGAGGGGACACAGGAGGAGAACGAGGAGGAAGCCGGGCCGGAGACGAGTCCGGCGGCGGGAACACAGGACCGTAGACAGGAAGGTCAGCAGACGGCGGGGAAGACACCGGGGAGCGGTCTGGGGAGGGAAGGCTGAGCAGGCGGAGAGCGGAGACCGGCGGCGACTGTGCCGGAACGCTCGGACCGGCAGAGGGAGGACGACCGGTGGCGGGACCCTCAACAGCAGCAACCCCAGAACCAACACCCCCAGAGCGAGGACCTCCTCCAACGCCAGCAGCACCCCCAGAAGCTGCAGGACGAACACCCTCCTCCACGCGAGCAGCCGCAGGGGCCAAGAGCGGCGGCGGCAGCGACGGCGGCGGCGGCAACCGCAGCGACGACGACGGCGGCAGCGACGACGGCAGCGACGGGGGCGGCGGCAACCGCAGCGACGATGGCGGCGGCGGCGACGGCGGCAGCGGCTGCGTCAGAGGGGGCAACTGCGACCGTGGAGGCGAAGACACCGGGGGAGGGGGACACGGCACGGACGGGCCAGGTGTACCACCAGAGTCAGCGGACTCCTCAACGGGGACAACCAACGGGAGGGGAGTGACGTGAGAGACACCAGACGGGGCAGGGCGAGGCGGGGGAGGCGCAGGGGCTACCGGGGGAGAGGGAGCAAGGAACAGGGGCGGGGCAACTGGGAGACCTCGGTGAGGGAAGTGACGGTAGAAGGAGACAGACTCGTCAAAGGTGACGTCACGAGAGTGGAGGAAGCGGTGAGACGGTGGGTGGTAGAACAGCCAGTCAGACGAGTCGAGGGGGAAACCAAGGAAGACACTGGGGACCTTGCGGGCAGTGAGCTTGTCCGTGCCAGAGGCACGAACGTGAGCAAGACAGCCCCAGACGTGGAACGCAGACGCGTCACCAGGGGACCCGGTCCAGAGGAGGGTCGGCGAAACCTGTGGCCGCTGAGAGCGTGGCCACAAGTTAAGCTGGTGAGCAGCGTAGCGAACAGCGAACGGCCACAGAAAATGGGGGGCATCAGCATGAATCATGGAGGTACGAGCAACCTCCATGACCAAGCCAATGCGGCGCTCAGCAACCCCATTCTGCTGTGGCGAGTCCGGCAAGGTGTACGTCTGGGTGATGCCCTCCGTACGACAGAACTGTCCAAGCCGACCAGAGGCGAACTCGCCGCCACAGTCAGAGTGGAGACACAACACGGGGAGACTGCAGCGAAGACGTGCAGCCACAACCCACGGTAGAAGAACGTCGGGCACGTCGGCCTTCCGCTCCAGAGGAAACACCGTGGTGTAGCGCGTGTAATCATCGACGAGCACAAGGAAGTAGCGCTCACCGCGCGGTCCGGGGACGGGGGCAGGGCCCCAGACGTCCAGGTGCAGGGTCTGGAGGGGGGCAGTCGCAGGGCGCAACGAGGAGGAGTGAGGAGCACGGCGGGGGCGGCCCTCGACGCAAGGCGTGCACGGTGGCGCAGTCAAGGGAGGAAGGGCAGGGAGCGACGCGGGGAGACCTAAGACAAGACCGTGCTGGGACATGTGACGCAGACGCGGGAGAGCAGGGTGACCTAAGAGGTGGTGCCAGAGAAGGGACGGGTGAGTGAGGGAACGACACGAGCAAGCTGCAGCGACCTGGGAGGACGCACCAACCGGGGGGGAAGCGGTGTCGAGGGTAAACAGACCGGACACCGGGTCCCGGGGGAACGTCGCAAGAGGGGAACCTGAGACAGCCTCAGAACAGACAGCGAACCGCTCGTGCCCGGGGAACGTGGTGGTGACGCCGAGGTCCTGGAGACAGCCGACACCAACTAGGTTCCTCGAGAACGAGGGAACGTGGAGGCCTGTAAGGGAGCCCGAGGGAACTGCAGGACAGGGAAGGGACGTAGATTTGCGAGCAACGACAGGACCCGCAGAGGGGTCAGCGAGAGAGACGACAGCAGGTGTAGCAAGCGGCGTGAGCGCGGAGTGGTCGCGGAAGAAGCAGGTAGAAGCACCGGAGTCGAGAGTGAACGACAGCGATGCAGTGGCGGAGGCCGGGAACGGGGCCGGTGCAGAGACTGGGCTAGGCAAACTAGGCAGTCCTACGCCTGACGCAGCAGGGGAAGCTATGCTACACAAGGGTGCAACACCTAAGCTGGAGAACACAGGATAATAAGATCCAGCAACACTAGCAGCGTCAGAATACAAAGCATGCAAAGCAGCACCTATCTGATCCATGTCTAACTCAAAGATCGGCACGCCCTGGCGGAGCAGGCTGTGCCAGTCAGGGAGGTCCGGGGCCGGGCCAAAGCGACGACGAAAAAGATCGTCAAGGCGGCAAAAACAGCGGGCAGTCGGGTGCGGGCGGTGACACAGAGTGCCGCGAAGAGGCCCGGTCTGAAGCTGGTACTGGCAGGTCACAGCACTGGAGCCGCTGGTAGACGCCGAGCTGCGCGGGCTGCCACCACGGCCACCACCTCCGCCGGTGCCAGGCCAACCAGGCGGGAGACGAGCCCACTGCTGCGGCGGCTGCTGCTGGGGCGACGGCTGCTGCTGGGACGGCGGCGGCGGCTCGGGCTGCTCCTGCTGCGGCGGGGGCTGCTGCTCCTGCTGACCAGTGGTAGTCCCAGCAGGCGGACTACCGTCACTACCACTAACACCACCACCACCACCTGCGCCACCACCCCGACCTCCCTGGCGACCACGGCCATTGCGGCGCGAGCGCTGTTACGGGTGGACCGCAGCAACTGTCTCGGTGGGAGGGGGCACCGTGGCGACCGCAGCCGAAACGTTAGTGAACGTGCACTGGGAGGGGGCACAGCCGTGAAAGATAGAGACTGCCGGCGCACCGCTCGACTGAGCGATAGTGCGCTGGCGAGTCTCGATCTCGGTGAGGGTGTCGACAAAGGCAGTGAGAGTGAGGTCAGCCGGGTGCTGGCTAAGGAAGTGATCGTGGGCACTAGCGAGGCGGTCCGGCAGGCGCATGGCGATGAAATAGAGCGTCATGCAGAAAGGAGGGGGGAGCGCAGTGAGCTGTGCAGCAGTGCTGGCAGTGCGATAGCGGGTCTCTAGGGCACGCACGTGAGCGGCAAAGTCTGCGACGGTAGGGAAGGCTGCAAGGTCTGGGAAGAGCATCGGGAAAAGCAAGCGGCCAGCAGAGGCAGACGCGGGTGTGGAATAGCGGGCAATGACTGCGTCTAAGTAGGCTTTGGCCGTCGCAATGGTAGCAAAACGCGAGCGTTCAGACACAGGGAGGGCGTGGCTAATAGCAACCTGAGCGACCGCATCGCGGGAGTCCCAGACAGCACAGGCAAGTGCAGCAGTAGAGAAGGTCTCACGGGCATCAGAGGAGGGGTCAGCAGGGAGGGGAACGGGCGCAGGGGGGCGGGGGAGCAAACCATCGACATGGACAACCAAAGAGTGGCCATCCTAACGCTGACCTGTAAGGTGGCGGCGGAGGTCAGAGAGCCAGGCGGCGAAGTCAACCGCGTGGCCCTCGGCGTCCAGTCGGAGCACGAAGTCAGCCATCGTGCAGGGTCAGCGGCACAGCTCCGCAGGAACAGGACGGCAGCGCCCTCCAACACGGCAGCCGCAAAACGGCGCCCCAGCACGTGCGAGCAGGTACGAAGAGGCGCCGGCCGGTCAGGCACGGCGGGTGAGGCACGGGAGGTGCGGCAGAGTCAGGAGGTGCGGCAGGGCCGGGCAGGCGCGGCGGGGCCAGGCAGGGGCGGCGGGGCCAGGAGGCGCGGCAGGGCCAGGCAGGCGCGACGGGGCCCGGCAGCGCGGCGGGGCCAGGAGACGAGACGGGGCCAGGCAGGCGCGACGGGGCCAGGCAGCGCGGCGGGGCCAGGAGACGAGACAGGGCCAGGCAGGCGCGACGGGGCCAGGCAGCGCGGTGGGGCCAGGAGACGCGGCGGGGCCAGGCAGGCGCGACGGAGCCAGGCAGGCGCGACGGGGCCAGGCAGGCGCGGCAGTGCCAGGTAGCGCGGCGGGGCCAGGCAGGTGCGGCAGTGCCATGCAGGCGCGACGGGGCCAGGAGACACGGCAGGGCCAGGCAGGCGCGACGGGGCCAGGCAGGCGCGGCGGGGCCAGGCAGCGCGGCGAGGGCCAGGCAGGCTCGACGGGGCCAGGCAGGCACAACGGGGCCAGGCAGGTGCGACGGGGTCGAGGAGGCACGAGGGGCCCAGGAGGGGCGTGACGGGCTAGAAGGCGCTGCAGGGGCCCAGGGGGGGGCGCGACGGGCGAGGAAGCGCTACAGGAGCCCAGGAGGGGCGCGACGGGGCCCAGGCAGCGCGATGGGGCCCAGTGGGACGCGACGGGGTCTAGGAGGCACGATGGGGCCCAGGGGGGCGCGACGGGACCTACGGGGCACGAAGGGGGCCCAGGAGGGGCGCGACGGGGCCTAGGGAGCGCGATGGGGCCCAGGGGGGGCGCGACGGGGCCTAGGAGGCGCGATGGAGCCCAGGGGGGCGCGACGAGGCCTAGGAGGCACGATGGGGCCCAGGGGGGCGCGACGGGGCCTACGGGGCACGAAGGGGCCCAGGAGGGGCGCGACGGGGCCTAGGCAGCGCGATGGGGCCCAGGGGGGGCGCGACGGGGCCTAGGCAGCGCGATGGGGCCCAGGGGGGCGCGACGGGGCCTAGGCAGCGCGGTGGGGCCCAGGGGGGCGCGAAGGGGCCTAGGAGGAATGGAGGGGGTGGCGGGGCCTAGGAGGCACGGGCGGAAGCGGTAGGTGGAGGGGAACCAACCTACGGGTGATACCATCTCAAAGGAAAACTGAATAATAATTGACTAGAAAGAATTGTACAAGGACATATATCTAAGGGTTGTACTCTCTAAGAGATGACCCTATACAGTCCATACAAACATCGTAGATAAACATGTTTGACAACAACTTGTTAATACTGGCTGTTATTGGAGGTACTTCCAGTATTATTTTCTACTTCAAGTACTTGTGTCTGCAGATTCTGTACTTCGTCTCCTGCATCACCTTTCAATTTCTTACAGGTACAAGCAAGCACTCTGAAAAAACCCTGAATCAGGGCAAATGACCTGAAATCTGAGGCCCTGGTGGAGATGTCTGTGATCTTGGCGTAGGCCACCCTGCCATCCAGCTGGTCCTGCAGCCTCATGTGAAATATTCTATACCCACGAGTACGGGACTAGCTAGAGGGGCGGAGGGTCTTGCAGGTCCCCTGTGGTGAGGTCGGTGACCTTGGGGTATGCCACCCTGCCGTCCAGCTGGCCCTGCAGCCACAGCAGCATCTTCAGCAGACTTGGTAGCTTGGGATCTGCAACACCCAGAAAGTGGCAAGGACCGGATCGATGGGGAGGGCAGAAAGGAGGAGGGGGAGGAGGGGGAGGAGGGGGAGGAGGGGGAGGAGGGGGAGGAGGGGGAGGAGGGGGAGGAGGGGGAGGAGGGGGAGGAGGGGAAGCAGGGGGATGAGGGGGAGGATGGGGAGGAGGGGGAGGAGGGGGAGGAGGGGGAGGAGGGGGAGGAGGGGGAGGAGGGGGAGGAGGGGGAGGAGGGGGAGGAGCAGGAGGAGCGGGAGGAGGGGAAGGGGGAGGAGGGGGAGGAGGGGGAGGAGGGGGAGGAGGGGGAGGAGGGGAAGGAGGGGAAGGAGGGGAAGGAGGGGAAGGAGGGGAAGGAGGGGAAGGAGGGGAAGGAGGGGGGAGACGGAGGTTGCAAGCCCCACGATAAGACAGAAACTGGAAGACAGAGGGAAGGGGGGAAGGGAGGGACACAATTAGCCCCACAGTGGAGTTTGAGCTTCTACACTTGAAGGGGGAGTCCGTGGACAAGGGTCAAAGCCACTGTGCACATTCAGCATGACTCGGGAGAGAAATGTTAGGGTGGATGTTGTCAGGCACGGCTGATTGGGAGGCGAAGGACGAAAAAAAACCCACGCGAACGCGACTTTCGTCGAGTGGGTGAGGGGGGAGTTTGGAGGTTGCGGGGGCAGTGGCAGTCCAAGTTTTGGGGGACTAAAGGTGCAGAACCTCATCACGGGGGGGGGATACTGCGAGGCAGGAAGAAAGGGAAGACATGTGGGACGGAACTGTGGGACGGGCGAGGAACAAAGTTGGGGGTGTAGATGAGTTCAAATCGTGGGGAAAGGGGCCGAATTGTGGAAAGTGCAGTACACAAATCTCACAATCTTAACTTCAAATGCTTTTCCTCAGGTGAGGAATATTAGGTTTTGCAGAGAAGTAGAGCAGTGCCAGCATGAATTCATGAGTGCATCCCATCCCACGTCAGCAAATGCGCATTGTGGGTTCCCCAACCAGCTTCTTCTGGACCCCCTTCCCATCCCTCTGCACTCCAATTCCACACTTCACCACGTTTCGCTCCCTCCGCATTCCATTCAGCGCTCCACGGGCCTCTGCCTATCCTCCATCTCGCCCCCGCACTCCCCCAGCAGCCTCTGCAGCATCAGCTGGCACGGGCCTCCACCCCCTCAGTAAACGTGCAACAGGAGGAGCACTTGAGTGCGAGAAAATGGCCTACCATGCAACCCCCTTGAGCAGTCCATGTTGCGCCCATCCGCCCCTTCATCCACTCACCATTCTCGCTCTCCTCACACCTCTCCTCTCTTCTCTCACCCGTTCTCTCTCCTCTCACCCCTCTCCTGTTCTCCCACCTTTCTCCTCACATTTCTCCTCACCCCCTTCACCAGCATTTTCTACTCCATCATACAGTCTCCTCACCACGCCTCACACATCGTCCTCACCTTTCTCCTTTCACACCGCCCCTCTCCTTCCTCACTAACCTCACTAATGCCCCCACGTAATCTCCCCTCACCCCCCTTTCTCCTGCCCCTGCCTCGCTGGATGGCGGCAGTGAGCAGCGCAGCACAGAAGGCTGCCTGTGAGGCACTTCCATCCCCCACCCTCAGGCCCTCCCTCTAATCATTCCACCTTTCTCCCACCGTCGCTCCCATGCCACCCACCTTTCTCCCACCGTCGCTCCCATGCCACCCACCTTTCTCCCACCGTCGCTCCCATGCCACCCACCTTTCTCCCACCGTCGCTCCCATGCCACTCACCTTTCTCCTGCCCCTGGCTCGCCAGAATGGCTGCGTTCAGCTCAGCAGCGGTCTTCCCGCGCTGACTCACGTCCAGCAGGTCTGCCAGCAGGGCGGGTGCTGACGTGGCAGCGTCCTCAAACGCCAGCAGGGCGACTGTGCGCTCCAACTCCTCCAGGCAGGCGGCCTAAAGGGTGAGATGCGCGAGAGGGGGGGGGTAAGGGTAAGGGAGCCAGCCAGGCTTGCAAGAGGGTGAGACGCAGGAGAGGAAAGAGGGAGGAAAGTAGGGGTGGGAGAACAATGAAGGGCTCCAGGGGAAGAGGAGAAGGCAGGGGGAGGGGGGGAGGATAGAGGGGCGATGGGAGGTCATGTGTGGAGAGCTCGGCATGAGTGCACGGTGGAACGGCGTTGCTAGGAGGAAGGGGAAGATGGGGGACGGAACAAGATGGAAGGGTGGGAGGGAAGGGCGTGACACGTGGCAGATGGGTACGGATGGGAGCGAGCGAATCGAGAGTGAGAACGGAGGGTGAGGGACCCGAGGGAATATTCGGTTGGAGATGGATGCATAAGGCAACCTGGCAGCTAGCAGCTTGATCCCGAAGGCTTGATAGTGCCCGCTCTCTCCAAAGCAAGCACTCCCCTCTCCCGCACTCACGTTCTCCTCGCCTCTGGGCGCCAGCTCCTCCTGCGCGAAATCCAGTGCCTCGTCCACGCGGCCCGCGCGGATAAGCTCGATGAGGCGCTGCTGCTGCAGGTGGAAGAACACGGCGGGGTTCGTGTCCAGGATCTGGGGGGGGGGGGAACAAGGATGGTAGAGGCGGGAGGGCATTGAAGCGCTAAGATGAGCGCAATCAGAATCAGCCCTGCTGCAGGAATCAGCCATGCTGCAGCACGTGGACAACGGGCAAGGGGAGTGTCAACGGCAGCCAGCACTTGGTCCGCTGCAGCATTCAACACAGGCAGTCTCAAAACGGTCAATAGCAGTCAACGTTTGGCAGTGAATGCTCCCAGATCATTTCGGGGTTGAGGTCGTTGACCCCGTCTCTCACATCGGGGTTGAGGTAGCCGTCGGCATGAGCCGAGCCACTTCCGGCTCGGCTCGACCGAGCAGCCCGGCTCGACTCGGCTCGTACAGGACATCCTCGTCGAGCCGGGGGGGAGCCGGCTCGTCCCTGGCTCGAGGCCGAGCCAGGCAGCTCGCGACTCCAGACAAGGGGAGTTGGCGGGGGTAGAAATTCCAGATCGACAAAACGCTACTCCCATTTCAAGACCTCCCATTTCGGGAGCCCCATGCGCGTTTCCGTGAATTCTAAGCCCCATGCGCGTTTCCGTGAATTCTAAGCCCCATGCGCGTTTCCGTGAATTCTAAGCCCTACATCAAAGGGAAAACGCTTGGCGCGTTGGGCTGAATCCGCGCGGGCCAAAAATAACTGGGTGGAACTCATGGGCGCTCAGGGTCCTTCCACCAGCCACCGCCCAACACCTTACTTCCACTCTGCCAGGCGAGCCGAGCCGAGGCGGCTCGATGGCGAGCCGGTGCCGGCTCGGCCATGGAACGGCGAGCCGAGCCAGGTGCTTTAGGGTTCCCGGCTTGACAGAGCCGAGCCTGGCTCGACAGCGAGCCGGCTCAACTGCGACCTCAAGTCTAGCAGGGCCGAGCCTGGCTCGACTCGACCTCAAGTCTAGCAGAGCCGAGCCTGGCTCGGCTCATGCCCACGCCTAGGTTGAGGTCGTTGACCCGGTCAACGCCCCTCTCTCACCTCGGGGTTGAGGTCGTTGACCCGGTCAATGGCGTCCTCCACGTCGCCCAGCTGCACCGCCTGCTTCACCGCCATGCGCTCCGCTATGCACGCCAAGTCCGCCCCGGCTGGGGGGAGGAATGGAAGAGACAAGAGCAGCAAGAGGATTAGTGGAGAGGCAGTCGCTGCTTGCTTCACTGCGATGCGCTCCGCCGCTGGCAGGTGTGCGGCGGCTGGGAGGCACCGGGGAGGGAAAAGAGCGGAATGGGAAGATGAGAACCCACGCGGTGGTCACTTCACTTGTGTGCGCTCCACCACGGCGGGTGAGAGGCAGAGCGGGACGGAGGGCAGAGTGAGGCAGTGGAGGGAACGGGTGAGAGGCAATGAGAGCCGTGCGCGCACACAAGGGAGAGGCGAAGAGTGGCATTGCAAGCACGTCACAGCAAGTGAGCTTGCGAGGCCCATGCGTGCCAAGAGGCACTGACGAGCAAAGAGTTGAGGGGCAACGAGGCAGGGGGGAGGAAGGAAGAGGGAGGAGAGGAGTGGAAGAGAAGAGAAATGTGGACCATTTCACGGCACACGGCAGTGCCAAGGGCTCTTCACGCCGATGGTTGGAATTTCAGGGGCCGGAGGCTCACGTTCGGTTCCGGACTCCATCTCGAACTTGCGCGCCGCCTCCACGTAGCCCTCCGTTACAAGGTAGTTCATTATAAGCTTGTTCATGTCGTCCTTGCGCACCGTAGCGCCGTCCATGCGCGCCTCCCACTCCCCCCGCCGCACCACCTTCCGCATCATCGTTCCCCCGCCACCGTCCCCCCGGCCTTCCCCGCCGCCGTCTCCCCCGGGCCCCCGCCGATGGAAGATGCGCTCGATGATGCGGCGGAGATGCGAAATTCCGCCGTCCCCACTAATGGTGACGCGCCACAAGTAGCGTGCTGGGCTGAAGGGGACACAAGACTACAGCGATCGAAACGACCTTAACGGGTAGGCGTGGCGGCCATAAGCATCGCCTCCTGAATCACTCGCTGAACGACGATCCTCAATAACCAGCTGCAGTGCAGGCTTGCGTGTCCTCGTGCGCAGGACTTGAGCTGGAGGACTGGCCTCAGGGAGAGCGTGTTTGTGTGACGTCAGCTCACTAGAGCTGTTGACATAGTATGTGATGCGATTCTGGATGTGCTGAGAGACGGGAATGGAAGGCGCGATTTAGGTTCGGGAATTGTCGATTTTGATGTCATTTTGTGCTAGGCGTCGGCGGTGTTACAACACTCGCAATCAGGATCGAGATTGCGACCGTTTGGTTGGACGGCAGCTCGCGTCGCGTCTCGACCAGGTTCAGCAGCCAAGTGGAATCAAGGTGAAAGAGGATTTCCGAACTCTGTTCCGAACTTGCACGCTGTAAGGTTTTAACGGTTCGCACGTCCGGATCGACTGAGCGAACCCTGTGCTTCGAACACGCCCTCACCTGCACCTTTGCTTCACTCGCGTCGCTCTGCTTTCGTCAGCTTCAGCCCGATTCCCTCCGAGCCCTGCCCACACGCCCGATCTCATCGCAGAGCGTCTGACTGACAGCGCTACCTGCGGCGTTCCCTAGGCTCTACGAATGCGCGCGCGCCTCATAGTAGATCCCCGTTTGGCGCACGAGATCCAGTGGAATTCACATTTACCACGCCTAGCGTAGGATCAGATCGGACGGTTGTGAGAGAAGGCGCGGCGATGGAGGAGGTGGCGCTGCCGTCGATCCGCGTGGGGCATGCGGGCGGCGGGGCGTTCGAGGGTCTGGCGAGCGACGAGGTGGAGAAGAAGAAACTCACGCTGGGCGTGTGCGTGATGGAGAAGAAGGTGCGCCGCCCCGTGCATGCTGTGCGCTCGCTATAGGTGCGCCGCCCACTGCATGCTGTGCGCTCGCTATAGGTGCGCCGCCCACTGCATGCTGTGCGCTCGCTATAGGTGCGCAGCCCAGTGCATGCTGTGCGCTCGCTATAGGTGCGCAGCCCAGTGCATGCTGTGCGCTCGCTATAGGTGCGCAGCCCAGTGCATGCTGTGCGCTCGCTATAGGTGCGCAGCCCAGTGCATGCTGTGCGCTCGCTATAGGTGCGCCGCCCCGTGCATGCTGTGCGCTCGCTATAGGTGCGCCGCCCACTGCATGCTGTGCGCTCGCTATAGGTGCGCAGCCCAGTGCATGCTGTGCGCTCGCTATAGGTGCGCCGCCCCGTGCATGCTGTGCGCTCGCTATAGGTGCGCCGCCCACTGCATGCTGTGCGCTCGCTATAGGTGCGCAGCCCAGTGCATGCTGTGCGCTCGCTATAGGTGCGCAGGCCAGTGCATGCTGTGCGCTCGCTATAGGTGCGCCGCCCACTGCATGCTGTGCTCTCGCTATAGGTGCGCAGCCCAGTGCATGCTGTGCGCTCGCTATAGGTGCGCAGCCCAGTGCATGCTGTGCGCTCGCTATAGGTGCGCAGCCCAGTGCATGCTGTGCGCTCGCTATAGGTGCGCAGCCCACTGCATGCTGTGCGCTCGCTATAGGTGCGCCGCCCACTGCATGCTGTGCGCTCGCTATAGGTGCGCCGCCCAGTGCATGCTGTGCGCTCGCTATAGGTGCGCAGCCCAGTGCATGCTGTGCGCTCGCTATAGGTGCGCAGCCCAGTGCATGCTGTGCGCTCGCTATAGGTGTGCAGCCCAGTGCATGCTGTGCGCTCGCTATAGGTGCGCAGCCCAGTGCATGCTGTGCGCTCGCTATAGGTGCGCCGCCCCGTGCATGCTGTGCGCTCGCTATAGGTGCGCAGCCCAGGGCATGCTGTGCGCTCGCTATAGGTGCGCAGCCCAGTGCATGCTGTGCGCTCGCTATAGGTGCGCCGCCCACTGCATGCTGTGCGCTCGCTATAGGTGCGCAGCCCAGTGCATGCTGTGCGCTTGCTATAGGTGCGCAGCCCAGTGCATGCTGTGCGCTCGCTATAGGTGCGCAGCCCACTGCATGCTGTGCGCTCGCTATAGGTGCGCCGCCCACTGCATGCTGTGCGCTCGCTATAGGTGCGCCGCCCAGTGCATGCTGTGCGCTCGCTATAGGTGCGCAGCCCAGTGCATGCTGGGCGCTCGCTATAGGTGCGCAGCCCAGTGCATGCTGTGCGCTCGCTATAGGTGCGCCGCCCCGTGCATGCTGTGCGCTCGCTATAGGTGCGCCGCCCACTGCATGCTGTGCGCTCGCTATAGGTGCGCAGCCCACTGCATGCTGTGTGCTCGCTATAGGTGCGCAGCCCACTGCATGCTGTGCGCTCGCTATAGGTGCGCAGCCCAGTGCATGCTGTGCGCTCGCTATAGGTGCGCAGCCCAGTGCATGCTGTGCGCTCGCTATAGGTGCGCAGCCCACTGCATGCTGTGCGCTCGCTATAGGTGCGCCGCCCACTGCATGCTGTGCGCTCGCTATAGGTGCGCCGCCCAGTGCATGCTGTGCGCTCGCTATAGGTGCGCAGCCCAGTGCATGCTGTGCGCTCGCTATAGGTGCGCAGCCCAGTGCATGCTGTGCACTTGCTATAGGTGCGCAGCCTAGTGAATGCTGTGCGCTCGCTATAGGTGTGCCATGGAGAACAAGGTGGGCAGATCCTGTCGGGTGGCGGGTGGGAGGAGAAGAAGGTGCGGTGGGCAGACACACCCAGCTCTCATTTCCCTTCCCTCGCGCGTTTCCGTTCCCACGTCCGACGACCTACCCGTTGCTCGTTCATGGTGTAACGGTCCCCTGTCGCCACAGCTGCCGTGCTGTCCCCCAGCCCAGGTATCACCGCTGGCCTCCATGCGCGCACCATCGCCCACGACTCTCCCGCCATCTCCGTCCCTCCTTTTCAACGCGGATGTTGATTCCTTTTCACAAGGCCCCCCTCCCTTTCACCATGCCCCGTTTTCTTTCCCCCACGTCCCTCCCTCCTCCAACACCCCCCGTTCTCCCCCCGGCTGTTCCCCACTGCTCCTCCTCGCCCTTCCATTACCCCCCCACTCGCGCTTGTCGCCCATGGCAGGCATCCTGGACCGGCTGTGGATGTTGGCCTTCCACATGGCGCCCCACCCTTTCACTATGCCCCCTTCCCCCCCCCCCCATTTCCCCCGCTCTCCCCCCATCTCCCCCCATCTCCCCCCATGCTTCCCCCCAGTCGCGGTCATCCCCCATGACTGCTATCCTTGACAGACTGAGGATGTTCGGCGAGGTGGAGGTGAGGCGAGGGGGTTGTGAGGGGAGGGGGAGGGGAGGAAATTGAGAGGTGAGACATGGGGAGTGCGAAGAGAGTGGAAGGGCGGAGATGAGGGACCGCTCAGATCTGGTTGGCTTCTGCTGCAGGCGTGCTTGACCTTCTTCTCTCTCCTTGCTGCATGCATCCCGGCATTCATTGCACCCTCCCCTCCCACTGCATTGACGCGTCTCCTGCCTTGCACCATCGCTCCCTTCCCCCCCCCCCCCTGTATTTGGATGGCACCAGGTGGTGATATTCGAGGACCGCATGATTCTGCACGACCCTGTCGAGAAGTGAGCGCTGCCCTCCCCCTTGTTGCGTCTACCGTAGCCCCACTGCATGCCCACTAGCCCCACGCCCACGGTGTGCGCCCCAGCTCCTCTTCCGCCCATGTTGGCAACGTGCCTTGTGTCAGTACCTTGTATTCCATGAGCCTCGCCACTAGCCTCCGCCTCCCCTCCTTTGCCGCATGTTACTGCTGCTGCTGCTACTGCTGCTCTGTTGTCGCCTGCCTGCCTGCCTGCGTGCCTGCCTGCCTGCGTGCCTGCCTGCCTGCGTGCCTGCGTGCCTGCCTGCCTGCGTGCCTGCCTGCCTGCCTGCCTGCGTGCCTGCGTGCCTGCGTGCCTGCCTGCCTGCGTGCCTGCCTGCCTGCGTGCCTGCGTGCCTGCCTGCCTGCGTGCCTGCCTGCCTGCGTGCCTGCCTGCCTGCGTGCCTGCGTGCCTGCGTGCATGCCTCGTGTTCGCGCATCCATGCGCACTCCTTTTGCAATCCTAGAAAAGTGCCCGGTTTCTTTGTGCACACACCACGTACCTGCGCAAGTACACGTGTGTGTGTGCGCGCGCGCGCGCGCGCGTGTGTGTGTGTGTGTGTGTGTGAACCAACCTTGTTCTATGCTGTTCTGGCCTTAGCAGCTCACAGTGTAGTGTGCATTCTGATACACACGTTGAGGGTATTTTCTTGTGGCACTGCTGTTGTGACTTTGTTCTGTTCTCTTCTACCATGACTTCTCTCCCTCTCTCTCTCTCTCACTTCCTAACGCTCCTGTCTGCACTCACTTATCATGGCCAACTGCCATTGGCTCGTGGCCCCTGTTGCTTCCCCATCGATTTTTCACACCTTTGATTTCCACCAACTTGTTGACTTCCCTTTCCCTGTTTCTCGTGCTGCTTGGAGTGCAGTCTGCTTATTTCCACTGCCTCTCTCACTGCCTCCCCCACTGCCTCCCCCACTGCCTCCCCCACTGCCTCCCCCACTGCCCCCCCCCCCTGCCTTCCCCCCTAGGTGGCCCATATGCGATGCGCTCATCGCCTTCTACTCCACGGGCTTCCCCCTCGCCAAGGCGCAGCAGTACGCCGCCCTGCGCAAGTATGTGTGTGTGTGTGTGTGTGTGTGTGTGTGTGTGTGTGTGTGTGTGTGTGTGTGTGTGTGTGTGTGTGTGTGTGTGTGTGTGTGTGTGAACCAACCTTGTTCTATGCTGTTCTGGCCTTAGCAGCTCACAGTGTAGTGTGCATTTTGATACACACGTTGAGGGTATTTTCTTGTGGCACTGCTGTTGTGACTTGGTGTTTTTCTCTTCTACCATGTCCCTCCCCCCGTTTATCCCACTCTCTCTTCCCCCCCAACCCCCTCCCCTTCCCTGGCTCTCTTCCTCCCCTCCCTCACTGCCCTCGTGCGCTGCAGACCCTACCTGGTGAACGAGTTGGAGCCGCAGTGGCTGCTGCACGACAGGAGGAAGGTCTACGCTGTGAGTGCCTGTTGACGTGTTTGCTGTTGCATTCGTGGACGCAATGGCATATCCTTATGAGGGGTCTTTACCATGGAGCGACTGGAACAGGGTCACCTGCTTTGGAGTGCACCACCGAATATTCGTTGTCCAGTTGGCTTCATCCGGTGTAGTTGTTCTCTTATGTCAACTCTTTTAAGCTCGTACCATAAGCCCGCAGTAACTTGGAGAACTGCACTTTGCTTGTTTTTCCAATGCAAGCGCTCGTGTTGACCGTGCGCTTGCATGCTCGCCCGGCTCCCCAGAAATTCGAGGAGCACAGGCACATGATGCGCACTCTGGGCCAATGGGATGACCCCAGCGACCATGCATGGGCTACAGGATCCGTTGTGGGGGGTTGTGGGTGCGCTAACCCACCAATTCATGACGCCCTTTTGAACTGAGTCGGTTAGTGGACTGGCGTTTCCAACACCCACCACGTACACCATCGTGAAGTCCCTTGAGTTAACAATATGCGCACATGCCCCTCCCATCCCTCCCCACATGCCCCCATCCCTCCCCACATGCCCCCCCCCCATTGCTCCCCACGTGCCCCCTCCCATCGCTCCCCACATCCTCCCCTCCCCCCCTCCCCCCTGGTACCTCTCTGCGCTGGAGGAGCTCGGGCTCATGATGCCCACATGCGCCACTAGGAGGCGCCTGGAGGCAACAGCATGCATTGGTGCCTCCACCCCTGCCGTGCCGCCCCTCCAGAAACTGGCGGAGCACGGGCTCATGATGCCCACGTACGCCATCGTCAACCGCGAGGAGGGCGCGGGGGCAGTGGAGGGGGGCGCAGAGGGCGAGCAGGAGGAGTTTGAGGAGGAGGAGGACTACGTGGTGGTGGGCGGCAAGCGCATCAACAAGCCCTTCGTCGAGAAGCCAGTCGACGGTGGGGCACTTGCTGTGTGGGGTGGGGTGGGGTGGGTGCGGTGCGGGTGTTGGTGTGGGTGGGTGGGGGTGGAGTTGTGGGTGGGGGGGTGTGGGGCCGCGTACTGGAGGGCAGCAAGCGCATCAAGGAGCCATGCACTCCTCTGGGGGCACTTGTTTGCACTCCTTTTCCACGCGGACATGTGGCCTCAGCCCGGCGTCCTGTTAGCTGGATGCAGATGCTTCCTCATGGAGGCGAGCCGTGCCGCGTCACATGCCTGCCCGTCTATCGTTCTATGCCCCGTGGCCAGGCCAACACCACACCACAGCACGTCCAACCCTTACCTCCCAGAATCCCTCTGTCTGTCGCCCGCATGATTCCACTCTGCCCCTGTGCCTGCGCAGGTGACGACCACAGCGTGATGATCTACTACCCCAGCTCCGCAGGTGGCGGCATGAAGGAGCTCTTCAGAAAGGTGCGCCTTCCAGGAAGGAGCTCTTCAGAAAGGTGCGCCTTCCAGGAAGGAGCTCTTCAGAAAGGTGCGCCTTCCAGGAAGGAGCTCTTCAGAAAGGTGCGGCATCCGTCAAGGACCACCTTGCTTGCTGCACAGCTGGCCGAGCCGAGAGTCCAGAGTGCAGAAAGCGACCCCTGTAATGCACTTGTAGCCGAGTGCATCCCCTGGTCGAGTTGAGTGACCGTTTGGCCTGTCTCGGCCGATTTGCCAAGTGACGGATTCCATGCCGCTGATCTGCATGACGTGGAGTCCGTGGCTCCACTTGCCCCTCGCTCCCTGTTTTTCCTCTGCCACTTCCTTCTCCCTGCTATTCGTCCCTCCCCGCTCTCTCCGCAGGTGGGCAACCGCTCGAGCGAGTTCCATCCGGATGTCCGGCATGTGAGGCGGCACGGCTCTTACATCTACGAGGAGTTCCTCCCCACCGGTCAGTCAGGCAGCAGCGCCATGTGATGTGATGTGATGTGATGTGATGTGATGTGATGTGATTTGATGTGATGTGATGTGATGTGATGTGATGTGATTGCACCGACAGCATGTGCCAGGACTCTCCATGTGTGATCCCCGTCATTGTCAGCTTGTGACAATGTGTGTCGTGCTGCCAGCTACCCTATGGCTGCTTATGAGGAGGGGTGGAAGCAAATATGTACAACTTGGGGGGATGGATGAGAATGTGGATGCCACGAGAGGCATTTGGGCCGTTGTGGTCATCCGTGCACCTTTTGGCACCTTTTGGTAATCTGGGCCCGGATTGGGCAGGCTCTGGTAGATGGTGGGGGCATGGTAATGTCACCTTTTGGCACCTTTTGGCATGGAAGCGCTCGTGTGATGGTGTACGCGGTGGGGCCGGCCGGACTATGCACACGCGGATGGATCCTTACTTGTGCATTAATAGACATGGGCAGCATGCCGAGCCTGGCTCGACTCGGCTCGACTCGACTCGCCTTTTTGGCGAGTCGAGCCGGGATTTTTTTTTGGCCGGCTCGACCCGAGTCGAGCCGGGTCTAGCCGGGTCGAGCCGGGTCGAGCCGGTCGAGCCGCGCGGCTCGGCTCGACTCGTCGCAATGGCGAGCCAAAGTCGAGAGGGCTCGACTTTGGCTCGAATTTGGCTCGACCCCCGAAGCGCGCGGCTCGCCAGCGGGGGGTCAAAATTCGACCCCCCTGGAAGACGCAAATCCATTTTAGGTTCCGATTTCCAACGAGCCTTAGTGTGCTTCTAGGCTATTTCGCCACCATAGCTTGCCCTCACTCCACCAACACCCCTACTTTAGATTATTTTCGACTACCTTATACTGTTGTAGGACGGATCTACGGGTTTAGGGACCATTTCCACATATATGTGTTGCATGATGTCTCAACGTCCCTACCCACTAAACAACCTATTCAAAGTCCCAAATTGCCGCCACGTTGCCCTAAACACAAGCTGGCCTTCAGTGAACCCTTAGCTCTCCAAAACAGCGATGTAGCAAGTCTTTCCAAAATCTGCAGCCTAAACCCTTTTGGCGAGTCGAGCCGAGCCGAGCCAAGGTTGAGCCGACCCTTGGCTCGACCCTGAACCCCCGAGTCGAGCCAGGCTCGGCATGCTGCCCATGTCTATGCATTTATGCTAAGTCGTCGTTCTTCCGTTTTTATGCACGAACAGTCATGGTAACAGGAGGCACGGATGCGAAGGTGTGCACGGGGGGGCCTATGCGCATGCGTATGGATTCATGGGCATGTTTGCAGCACGTCCATCCCTAAACCGTGTTCCTTGCCTGCCATGCCCCTGCCATGCCCCTGCCATGCCCCTGCCATGCCCCTGCCATGCCCCTGCCATGCCCCTGCCATGCCCCTGCCATGCCCCTGCCATGCCCCTGCCATGCCCCTGCCATGCCCCTGCCATGCCCCTGCCATGCCCCTGCCATGCCCCCTGGCAGGCGGCACGGACGTGACGGTGTGCACTGTGGGGCGGAACTAAGCGCATGCGTATGGATTCTTTGAAGATATGTGTGCTGCATTCATGCCGAATCGTTGCCCTTCCGTATGTATGCGTGCACAATCACCCTGGCAGGCGGCACGGACGTGAAGGTGTACACGGTGGGCCCAGACTACGCGCATGCGGAGGCGCGCAAGTCGCCCGTGGTGGACGGCGTTGTTATGCGCAGCGCGGACGGCAAGGAGGTCAGACAGGGGGCCTAGGTTAGGTGTACTTAGCCGTTTTCATGCAGTGGCTGTTGCTGTGGGAAAGAGTTTCACCGTTTTATTTCCTTGTGCAGAAGGGCAAGGAGGTGAGGCCGTGCTTCCTCAAAGGTAGTCTCTAATTGTTTCTTCAATCTAATTGAGCGTCTGTAAAAGCCACACATGGCAGATGACGTGCTGCTGCTTGTGGCTTGCTATCAGTTGCAGCTATTGTGCTGGCGAGCTTGTAAAGTGCCGTCCTGCCATTTGCCACACATGGTCCGCGTGCTTGCTGAGTTGTGAGCTGAGGAGGCTTTGAAGCTGAGGTTTAGATTTCACGTGCAGCGTCATCCCCCCACCACACGAGCCTTGAGTGCCACACCCATCTTTCCCCAACAGCCCTCCCTATTCGTCATGTAATTCTCTTCCTCGTGCCTCTCACGCGAGCATGCAAATGTGTTGTTTGCACCCGGTCAATATGATATGCCCCCATGCGAGCGCCTCTCTTCATCCCTCCCGTCTTCTCCCCTTCATCACTGCAGTTCGCCCCTCCCCTCGCCCCTGTGCCAGATCCGCTACCCCGTGCTGCTCACCCCCACTGAGAAGGAGATGGCGCGAGTCATCTGCCTTGCCTTCGGCCAGGCCGTGAGTCGTCTATCCTCGCCTCACCTTCTAATCATGCTGCATGCCGAGCTGCAGTTTTAGCTATTTGCTCCCCTTCATCCTCAATGTTTATCTTCACCTGCTTGAGGGCTTGTGACGGAAAATCATATTTTCATCTTATGTCCATCGTATTTCCATCTTATGTCCATCGTATTTCCATCTTATATCCATCGTATTTCCATCTTATATCCATCGTATTTCCATCTTATATCCATCGTACTTCCATCTTATGTCCATCGTATTTCCATCTTATATCCATCGTATTTCCATCTTATATCCATCGTATTTCCATCTTATATCCATCGTATTTCCATCTTATATCCATCGTATTTCCATCTTATATCCGAGCACCTCTTGTTGTCCATCCTCTTGGTCCGTGGTGCCATCCTCGTTGTCCTCGCCCACTCTTTCAGCCCCTCCGTGCCTTCAATGCTACGTCTCTCGTCTGCGACCAGTCTCTCTGTTGTCTTCATTCGTCCCACATTTCTGTCTCGCCCTCTTTTCTCTCCCCCCTCCCCGGTCAGGTCTGTGGCTTTGACCTGCTGCGCTCGCACGGCCGCTCCTTTGTGTGCGACGTCAACGGGTGGAGCTTCGTCAAGAACTCAACCAAGTGAGCTTCGTCAAGAACTCAACCAAGTGAGCTTCGTCAAGACTCGACCAAGTGAGCTTCGTCAAGAACTCAACCAAGTGAGCTTTCGGCCGTGACGAGCTAGAGAGCTAGACAGCCTTAGTTGGGTGGCTCATGTGATGTGATGTGTGTGAAGCTCCTCCCTAGCCCTGACGAACAAGCACTCGTCACTGCACCAACATGAGAGGTCTAGCATTGCAAGATATTTCCATTCAGCCACCCTTCCCTCCTGTCAAACCTGTATTTCCCCTGCAGGTACTACGACGATGCCGCCTGTGTGCTGCGCAGCATGCTGCTGCGCGCCGTGGCGCCGCACCTCTACTCGCCGCTGCCGGTGCGCCTGCCGTGGTCGTCAGGACCTGATGCCGCGGCAGCCACGGCGGACGGCAGCACGTCGCCGGACTACGAGCGCACGGCGAGCGCCAGCAGCTTCACCAGCGCGCACACGTTCGGCACGCGGGAGGAGCTGCGTTGCGTCATCGCTGTCATCCGACAGTGAGTACCGAGTTGAGAGGAGGAGGGGGAGGGGGGGGGGTTGGGTGGTGGGTGTTGGGGCTGCTACGCAATGACCAGGGAGGAGCTGTGCTGCATGATTACCGCCATCCAGCAGTGGGTAGTTGGGGGTTCCTGGGTATCGGGGCTGCTTAGCTATGGCTGCAGTCGAGTGGGGCTTCAAGTGTATGTGACTGCGTGTTGGTGGATCGGTGTTGGGAGTCATGAGTGAGAGTGTGGTTGGGTGAAAGCACTAGGGAAGAAGGGTTAAGGGCTGGTGGGCGTGAAGCACAAGAAACGGGGCAGAGAGCTCACGATGGGGCAACAGCTCATCTACTTCTCTCCTCTCCCGCTCTGTGCCTGCTCTCCCCAGCGGCGACCGCATGCCAAAGCAGAAGGTGAAGCTGGTGGTGGCAATGGCAAGGGGGCATTGACACATGCATCTCATCCACCTGTCCACGTGCCCGCTCACACCTCTCTCCCTCCCCGTACCTGCTCTCCCCAGCGGCGACCGCACGCCGAAGCAGAAGGTGAAGCTGGTGGTGAGACAGGAGCGGCTGCTGCAGCTCATGCTCAAATACAACGGCGGCAAGCCACGCTCCGAGGTAATACAACGGCGGCAAGCCGTGCTCCGAGGTAATACAACGGCGGCAAGCCGCGCTCCGAGGTAATACAATGGCGGCAAGCCGTGCTCCGAGGTAATACAACGGCGGCAAGCCGCGCTCCGAGGTTATACAACGGCGGCAAGCCGTGCTCCGAGGTAATACAACGGCGGCAAGCCGCGCTCCGAGGTAATACAATGGCAGCAAGCCGGGCTCCGAGGTAATACAACGGCGGCAAGCCGCGCTCCGAGGTAATACAACGGCGGCAAGCCGCGCTCCGAGGTAATACAACGGCGGCAAGCCGCGCTCCGAGGTAATACAACGGCGGCAAGCCGTGCTCCGAGGTAATACAACGGCGGCAAGCCGCGCTCCGAGGTAGTACAACGGCGGCAAGCCGCGCTTCAAGGTAGTACAATGGCGGCAAGCCGCGCTCCGAGGTAATACAACGGCGGCAAGCCGCGCTCCGAGGTAATACAACGGCGGCAAGCCGCGCTCCGAGGTAGTACAACGGCGGCAAGCCGCGCTTCAAGGTAGTACAATGGCGGCAAGCCGCGCTCCGAGGTAATACAATGGCAGCAAGCCGGGCTCCGATAATACAACGGCGGCAAGCCGCGCTCCGAGGTAATACAACGGCGGCAAGCCGCGCTCCGAGGTAGTACAACGGCGGCAAGCCGCGCTCCGAGGTAATACAACGGCGGCAAGCCGCGCTCCGAGGTAATACAGGCTATGCCATGCTGTACAATGCACGGTGTGAGGTGCAATGCACGGTGTGAGGTAGCATCAGGTTCGAAAGCCCGTGCTCCCCCTGGCTAAGCGCAAGAGCGCCATGCAGCTGCAGGAGCTGCTGGGAGGCTGTGCTTCTTCTGACAGACGCGTGCGCCCCTCCGTGTGCTTGAGATACTCGCTACCCCGTCCCCCCGGTCTCCCCTCCCTCCCTCTCCCCCCTCCCTCCTCGCTCCCAGGCGAAGCTCAAGAGCGCAGTGCAGCTGCAGGACCTGCTGGACGCGCTCAGAGCACTCGTGCCGCACCAGAGGTGGGTGTTACCAGAGGTGGGTGTTACCAGAGGCGGGTGATACCAGAGGTGGGTGTTACCAGAGGTGGGTGTTACCAGAGGTGGGTGTTACCAGAGGCGGGTGTTGTCTGAGGTGGGTGTTACCAGAAGTGGGTGTTACAAGCGATGCAAGGTGGTTGTTACCAGGGGTGGTTGTTACCAGAGGTGGGTGTTACCTGAAGGGGGTGTCACCAGAGGTGGGTTGGTTGTCGCTGGATTTGATTTTGGAAGGGCTTTCGACTTCGTTGGCTGCTCAAGCAGCCTCAAGTTCCGTGCCTTGCTCCGTGCCTTGCTCCGTGCCTTGCTCCGTGCCTTGCTCCGTGCCTTGCTCCCAGATTTCCCTCTTCCCTTCCTCCGCTGCGCCTCACCTCTACCTCCCATGCCGCGCTCCTGTCCCATTCCTGCACTGTGCCTGCTACTTTTGATTCGCCTCAAGAGCATGCCTCCTACCGCGTCCGCCCCCTTCCGCTGCTGCGCATCCCCATGGCACGGCAGCAGGGACGGCAGTGACAGCGAGACGGAGGACTTTGAGAACGCGGAGAAGCTGAGGCACGTCAAGGCAGTGCTGGAGGAGGTGAGCTGCACGTCAAGGCAGTGCTGGAGGAGGTGAGCTGCACGTCAAGGCAGTGCTGGAGGAGGTGAGCTGCACGTCAAGGCAGTGCTGGAGGAGGTGAGCTGCACGTCAAGGCAGTGCTGGAGGAGGTGAGCTGCACGTCAAGGCAGTGCTGGAGGAGGTGAGCTGCACGTCAAGGCAGTGCTGGAGGAGGTGAGCTGCACGTCAAGGCAGTGCTGGAGGAGGTGAGTTGCACGTCAAGGCAGTGCTGGAGGAGGTGAGCTGCACGTCAAGGCAGTGCTGGAGGAGGTGAGCTGCACGTCAAGGCAGTGCTGGAGGAGGTGAGCTGCACGTCAAGGCAGTGCTGGAGGAGGTGAGCTGCACGTCAAGGCAGTGCTGGAGGAGGTGAGCTGCACGTCAAGGCAGTGCTGGAGGAGGTGAGCTGCACGTCAAGGCAGTGCTGGAGGAGGTGAGCTGCACGTCAAGGCAGTGCTGGAGGAGGTGAGCTGCACGTCAAGGCAGTGCTGGAGGAGGTGAGCTGCACGTCAAGGCAGTGCTGGAGGAGGTGAGCTGCACGTCAAGGCAGTGCTGGAGGAGGTGAGCTGCACGTCAAGGCAGTGCTGGAGGAGGTGAGCTGCACGTCAAGGCAGTGCTGGAGGAGGTGAGCTGCACGTCAAGGCAGTGCTGGAGGAGGTGAGTTGCACGTCAAGGCAGTGCTGGAGGAGGTGAGCTGAGGCGCTTATTGCTGCCCTGCGTTGCCTGGACTGACTCCATCCTTGCACGTCAAGGCAGTGCTGGAGGGGTGAGCTCGCCATGCCATGCAGTAGCAGCCTCGACTGGTCCATCCATGCAGGCACGTCAAGGCAGTGCTGGAGGAGGTCAGCCCAGGCGCTTATTGCCTCCCTGACTTGCCTTGACTGGCTCCATCCTTGACACCTCAAGGCAGTGCTGGATCACACTGCCTCAAATACTGCGTTCGGGGAGGATTGTGCCACACTGCGCTTACCGAAGTTCACTGCTACTTTTTATTCCCTCCCCTTCTACTTGCTGCCCCTATCTCCCCCACAGGGCGGGCATTTCTCGGGCATATACCGCAAGGCACAGCTGAAGCCGCAGAAGTGGGAGCGTGTGCCGCGGCGGGACAGCAGTGGGGGCGAGGTGGAGGTGGAGGAGCCCACTGAGGCGCTCATGGTGCTCAAGTACGGCGGGGTGCTCACACACGCTGGCAGGCAGCAGGTGCGGGATGATTCATTGTGGGCAGCAGGTGCGGGATGATTCATTGTGGGCAGCAGGTGCGGGATGATTCATTGTGGGCAGCAGGTGCGGGATGATTCATTGTGGGCAGCAGGTGCGGGATGATTCATTGTGGGCAGCAGGTGCGGGATGATTCATTGTGGGCAGCAGGTGCGGGATGATTCATTGTGGGCAGCAGGTGCGGGATGATTCATTGTGGGCAGCAGGTGCGGGATGATTCATTGTGGGCAGCAGGTGCGGGATGATTCATTGTGGGCAGCAGGTGCGGGATGATTCATTGTGGGCAGCAGGTGCGGGATGATTCATTGTGGGCAGCAGGTGCGGGATGATTCATTGTGGGCAGCAGGTGCGGGATGATTCATTGTGGCTAGCTGGTTGACCTCGTCTAAATAAGGTCCTGCAGATAGGGAGGTGCTCATGGCGCTCAAGCAGGGTGGGTTGCTCACGCACGCTGGCAGATAGCAGGTGGGATGTGCGCTCTGTAAGTTACGGGGCTTGTAATCACGGGGCTTGTTGTCACGGGGCTTGTAGTCACAGGGCTTGTAGTCACAGGGCTTGTAGTCAGCGCACAGTTGAGCATGGTGGCCCAGAGGCGAGGGGGAGGTGTGATGTGTTTGGGCTCATGCTCTCAGCTCCCCCACTCGTGCCAACTTCTGCCGCCACTGTTCTGCCCTTCGTTGCACCCTCGTTGTATTGCCCTTCTATTCTCACTCTGCTCCCTCTCGCCTTCCGTGTGCAGGCAGAGCATCTTGGTCGAGCTTTCCGAGAAGCCATGTACCCTGGTATGGCGAGTACCCCTGGTATGGCATGTATGCTGGTTGACGCATGGCAAGGCCTGTGAGCGCGGTTTAAACTGCGAGGTGCATTTATCTGCACATGATGGATGCATGCACGTGATGGATGCATGCACCTGATGGATCCATGCACATGATGGATACATGCACATGATGGATGCATGCACGTGATGGATGCATGCACCTGATGGATGCATGCACGTGATGGATGCATGCACGTGATGGATGCATGCACGTGATGGATGCATGCACCTGATGGATACATGCACATGATGGATGCATGCACGTGATGGATGCATGCACGTGATGGATGCATGCACATGATGGATGCATGCACGTGATGGATGCATGCACATGATGGATGCATGCAGATGATGGATGCATGCACATGCCGCCGCTTGTCTCGTGGAATGCATACATGGTCATGGGAGCATGTCTCCAGCCACCAGCTTGTGTCGAGCTTGCGCTTGACACTACACCTCATGCACCCCAAACCCCTCCTAAGGCCACACGTACCCCTTTGGAAATGCAACTTTCACTTCCTCTCTGATTACACTTCCCTTCTCGGATTCTCCCCTCTTCCCCCTCCACAGTTTCTGCCTGCCCTTCTCCCATTTCTCCTCCTCCTCGTCTCCTCCTCACTCTCTCCTCCCCCCCCTCCCCTGCGTGGCAGACGAGATGGGGTCCAACGGCACGGGGCTGCTGCGGCTGCACAGCACGTACCGCCACGACCTCAAGATCTACAGCTCGGATGAGGGGCGCGTGCAGGTGGGGTGGGGTGCTGATGCTGATGGTGCAGAGAATGGCGGGTTTCGGGTTTAGGGTTGTTGATTGCAAGGCAGAGAATGGTGGGTGCGAGGGTGTCACTTCCATGCTGCACAGCTTGTACAGCCACGGCCTCTTTCTACTTGTAGGTTTTTGAAGGATCGGATAGGGCTTGTAAGTAGGGCTTGACTTGAAGAAGGGCTTGAAGAAGGGCTTGAAGAAGGGCTTGAAGAAGGGCTTGAAGAAGGGCTTGAAGAAGGGCTTGAAGAAGGGCTTGAAGAAGGGCTTGAAGAAGGGCTTGAAGAAGGGCTTGAAGAAGGGCTTGAAGAAGGGCTTGAAGAAGGGCTTGAAGAAGGGCTTGAAGAAGGGCTTGAAGAAGGGCTTGAAGAAGGGCTTGAAGAAGGGCTTGAAGAAGGGCTTGAAGAAGGGCTTGAAGAAGGGCTTGAAGAAGGGCTTGAAGAAGGGCTTGAAGAAGGGCTTGAAGAAGGGCTTGAAGAAGGGCTTGAAGAAGGGCTTGAAGAAGGGCTTGAAGAAGGGCTTGAAGAAGGGCTTGAAGAAGGGCTTGAAGAAGGGCTTGAAGAAGGGCTTGAAGAAGGGCTTGAAGAAGGGCTTGAAGAAGGGCTTGAAGAAGGGCTTGAAGAAGGGCTTGAAGAAGGGCTTGAAGAAGGGCTTGAAGAAGGGCTTGAAGAAGGGCTTGAAGAAGGGCTTGAAGAAGGGGGCTTGAAGAAGGGCTTGAAGAAGGGCTTGAAGAAGGGCTTGAAGAAGGGCTTGAAGAAGGGCTTGAAGAAGGGCTTGAAGAAGGGCTTGAAGAAGGGCTTGAAGAAGGGCTTGAAGAAGGGCTTGAAGAAGGGCTGAAGAAGGGCTTGAAGAAGGGCTTGAAGAAGGGCTTGAAGAAGGGCTTGAAGAAGGGCTTGAAGAAGGGCTTGAAGAAGGGCTTGAAGAAGGGCTTGAAGAAGGGCTTGAAGAAGGGCTTGAAGAAGGGCTTGAAGAAGGGCTTGAAGAAGGGCTTGAAGAAGGGCTTGAAGAAGGGCTTGAAGAAGGGCTTGAAGAAGGGCTTGAAGAAGGGCTTGAAGAGGGCTTGAAGAAGGGCTTGAAGAAGGGCTTGAAGAAGGGCTTGAAGAAGGGCTTGAAGAAGGGCTTGAAGAAGGGCTTGAAGAAGGGCTTGAAGAAGGGCTTGAAGAAGGGCTTGAAGAAGGGCTTGAAGAAGGGCTTGAAGAAGGGCTTGAAGAAGGGCTTGAAGAAGGGCTTGAAGAAGGGCTTGAAGAAGGGCTTGAAGAAGGGCTTGAAGAAGGGCTTGAAGAAGGGCTTGAAGAAGGGCTTGAAGAAGAGAAGGGCTTGAAGAAGGGCTTGAAGAAGGGCTTGAAGAAGGGCTTGAAGAAGGGCTTGAAGAAGGGCTTGAAGAAGGGCTTGAAGAAGGGCTTGAAGAAGGGCTTGAAGAAGGGCTTGAAGAAGGGCTTGAAGAAGGGCTTGAAGAAGGGCTTGAAGAAGGGCTTGAAGAAGGGCTTGAAGAAGGGCTTGAAGAAGGGCTTGAAGAAGGGCTTGAAGAAGGCTTGAAGAAGGGCTTGAAGAAGGGCTTGAAGAAGGGCTTGAAGAAGGGCTTGAAGAAGGGCTTGAAGAAGGGCTTGAAGAAGGGCTTGAAGAAGGGCTTGAAGAAGGGCTTGAAGAAGGGCTTGAAGAAGGGCTTGAAGAAGGGCTTGAAGAAGGGCTTGAAGAAGGGCTTGAAGAAGGGCTTGAAGAAGGGCTTGAAGAAGGGCTTGAAGAAGGTTGAAGGGCTTGAAGAAGGGCTTGAAGAAGGGCTTGAAGAAGGGCTTGAAGAAGGGCTTGAAGAAGGGCTTGGAAGAAGGGCTTGAAGAAGGGCTTGAAGAAGGGCTTGAAGAAGGGCTTGAAGAAGGGCTTGAAGAAGGGCTTGAAGAAGGGCTTGAAGAAGGGCTTGAAGAAGGGCTTGAAGAAGGGCTTGAAGAAGGGCTTGAAGAAGGGCTTGAAGAAGGGCTTGAAGAAGGGCTTGAAGAAGGGCTTGAAGAAGGGCTTGAAGAAGGGCTTGAAGAAGGGCTTGAAGAAGGGCTTGAAGAAGGGCTTGAAGAAGGGCTTGAAGAAGGGCTTGAGAAGGGCTTGAAGAAGGGCTTGAAGAAGGGCTGGGGGTGAAGAAGGGCTTGAAGAAGGGCTTGAAGAAGGGCTTGAAGAAGGGCTTGAAGAAGGGCTTGAAGAAGGGCTTGAAGAAGGGCTTGAAGAAGGGCTTGAAGAAGGGGAAGGGGGGGGGGGGGGAAGGGGGAAGGGGCTTGAAGAAGGGCTTGAAGAAGGGCTTGAAGAAGGGCTTGAAGAAGGGCTTGAAGAAGGGCTTGAAGAAGGGCTTGAAGAAGGGCTTGAAGAAGGGCTTGAAGAAGGGCTTGAAGAAGGGCTTGAAGAAGGGCTTGAAGAAGGGCTTGAAGAAGGGCTTGAAGAAGGGCTTGAAGAAGGGCTTGAAGAAGGGCTTGAAGAAGGGCTTGAAGAAGGGCTTGAAGAAGGGCTTGAAGAAGGGCTTGAAGAAGGGGGGGCTTGAAGAAGGGCTTGAAGAAGGGCTTGAAGAAGGGCTTGAAGAAGGGCTTGAAGAAGGGCTTGAAGAAGGGCTTGAAGAAGGGCTTGAAGAAGGGCTTGAAGAAGGGCTTGAAGAAGGGCTTGAAGAAGGGCTTGAAGAAGGGCTTGAAGAAGGGCTTGAAGAAGGGCTTGAAGAAGGGCTTGAAGAAGGGCTTGAAGAAGGGCTTGAAGAAGGGCTTGAAGAAGGGCTTGAAGAAGGGCTTGAAGAAGGGCTTGAAGAAGGGCTTGAAGAAGGGCTTGAAGAAGGGCTTGAAGAAGGGCTTGAAGAAGGGCTTGAAGAAGGGCTTGAAGAAGGGCTTGAAGAAGGGCTTGAAGAAGGGCTTGAAGAAGGGCTTGAAGAAGGGCTTGAAGAAGGGCTTGAAGAAGGGCTTGAAGAAGGGCTTGAAGAAGGGCTTGAAGAAGGGCTTGAAGAAGGGCTTGAAGAAGGGCTTGAAGAAGGGCTTGAAGAAGGGCTTGAAGAAGGGCTTGAAGAAGGGCTTGAAGAAGGGCTTGAAGAAGGGCTTGAAGAAGGGCTTGAAGAAGGGCTTGAAGAAGGGCTTGAAGAAGGGCTTGAAGAAGGGCTTGAAGAAGGGCTTGAAGAAGGGCTTGAAGAAGGGCTTGAAGAAGGGCTTGAAGAAGGGCTTGAAGAAGGGCTTGAAGAAGGGCTTGAAGAAGGGCTTGAAGAAGGGCTTGAAGAAGGGCTTGAAGAAGGGCTTGAAGAAGGGTGTGACGAGTAGGTTGCGCTGCCACCGACTAGTCTCTGTGTCTTTAACTTCCCCTCCTTCCCCTTCGCCCTGCGCCCTCCTTCCTCTTCGCCCTGCGCCCTCCTTCCCCTTCGCCCTGTGTCCCTCCTTCCTCTTCTCTGCTCTCGCCTCCCCCCTTTCTCCCTACCTCCGCCCCTCCACTCCGTTCTGTGCAGATGTCAGCAGCAGCATTCACCAAGGGTCTGCTGGACCTAGAGGGACAGCTCACGCCCATTCTTGTATGCATGCTGCCGCGTTCCCATCCCGCGTGTTCTTAAGCATGCCACCTCTTCTTCCACAGCACCGCAGCATCCATTCACTGCCTCATTCTTTCCCTGCTCATGGTCACCTCTACACAAAAGAACGTTTCCTTGCATTCCATTTGATCACTCCCCAGTTATGATTCCCTCGTTGTTAACTTCTCATGGGTGTGCCCATGCATGCATGCATGTGTGCGTGCTTGTGCGAGTGCATGCTTATGTGTGTGCATGCATTCGTTCGTGTGTGCATGTGCGCCTGTGTGTGGGTACACTCGTGCGTGCATGCGCGCGCGTGCGTGCATGCGCGCGCGTGTGTGTGTGTGTGTGTGTGTGTGTGTGTGTGTGTGTGTGTGTGTGTGTGTGTGTGTGTGTGTGTGTGTGTGTGTGTGTGTGTGTGTGTGTGTGTGTGCATGTGTGTGTGTCCGTGTGCCTGCATGTGTGCGTGTCTGTGTGTGTGCCTCTGTGTGTGTGCCTCTGTGTGTGTGCCTCTGTGTGTGTGCCTCTGTGTGTGTGCCTCTGTGTGTGTGTCTCTGTGTGTGTGCCTCTGTGTGTGTGCCTCTGTGTGTGTGCCTCTGTGTGTGTGCCTCTGTGTGTGTGCCTCTGTGTGTGTGCCTCTGTGTGTGTGCCTCTGTGTGTGTGCCTCTCTGTGTGTGTGCCTCTCTCTGTGTGTGTGCCTCTGTGTGTGTGCCTCTCTCTGTGTGTGTGCATGCGTCCTTGTGTGCACATGTGTGTCATGGCAGGTGAGCCTGGTCAGCAAGGACTCTCCCATGCTCGATGGGCTCGACTCCGCCTCCATTGAGATGGAGCACGCCAAGGTGCGCTGCAGTAGTCGCACAGCCTAACGTCCCACAGCCCATTGTGTTCCGATAATTCACCCACCTCACTGTCTCACGCTTCTTCTCCCTCGTGTCCACCTGTGTTTCGTCTCCTCTCTCTCTCTCGCCCCTTGTCGCTCCCACTCTCCCCTTCTCCCCCCCTCCCACCGCAGCGCAAGCTGGCAGAGATGATGACCACCAACGACCCCCCAGTGCTCTCGCCCACGCACGGCCAACCACCAGCCCTGCAGAGCCCGCGCCGCCCGTCGCAGTCGCGCTCGCACTCACGCAGCAGCAGCAGCAGCAGCACCCACAGCAGCAGCCTCACATCACAACCCTCAGGCCCGTGGATGACTGATGCGCCCTGGCTGCCTGACCGGCCCCTCAGCAAGCTGCACAAGCTGGTGGGTGCAGACGCCTTATCCTGCAGGCCCACTCACTCCCAGCCCTTTCTTCCCCCTCTCTCCCTTGCTGCTCTTCGCTTGCGTTTCCCTTCCAAGAATGTATCACCGTGTCTCCACGAATAGCTGCCTGTCGCATTTCTAACCATCGTATCGTGCCGCGTTCTTCCACACGTCTCGCATGCCTCCTGGAGCTGGTCCGAACGCCAAATGTGGAGCTCATCAACGCCTTGGCGGCGCACGCCAAGGAGAAGTGTTGTGAGGACGACGTGGGCAGTGCTGTGGATACAGGAGGACTTGAGTGGCACCCTTTCCCCTTCCTCCACACCACACCTACTCAGTACCCCCCGCACCGCCCTACGTCCTTCCCCCTCAGGTGGAGCTCATCAAGGCCCTGGCAGCCCACGCCAAGGAGAAGTGCCGCGAGGACGACGTGGACGGTGCTCTGGAGGCGGAGGTGGAGGAAGCTGTCAAGAAGCTGCGCATCGTGCCCGTGCCGCCACCGCCGCGGGGCGCGCACCAGAAAGGGCAGGGGCAGCAGGGCGTGGAGCAGCAGGGCGCAGGGCAGCAGGGCGTGGGGCAGCAGAAGGGCGGGAAGCAGAAGGCGGTGCCGTACGACAGCACGGTGCTGGGCAAGGCGCGGTTCGACGAGAGCCGCATCGCCGCGGGGCTGCCGTGCGGTACAGAGGAGTTCCTGCTGATATTCGCACGGTGGAAGAAGCTGGAGAGAGATATCTACAACCCAAGGAAGGAGTGAGTGTGGGGCGGGTGGAGTGGGTGCCAGGTTTCGAGCAGACCATGCACTGGCGGTTCGGACGAAACCTGAGCGGGCGGTTGAAGGGGTGAAGGGGAAGAGTGCAGGGAGCAATGAAGTTCCTTCACTCATTGGTGCTCCCCGTTTGCTGTATGCTCATGAATTCCTCAGCTTGTGTTCTTCCTGCTCGCCGCTTTGCCATGTCCGTTGTCCCAACATCCTTTCTTCCTCCCCTCCATATCCCCTTGTGCACTGCAGCCGCTTCAACATCAGCAAGATACCAGATGTCTACGACTCGGCCAAGTGAGTCGTGTCATGCACGCACACACACACACGCACACACACACGCACACATGCTCGATTCCATGCATGCACGCACGCACACACACGCCCACACGCACACACACTCTCTCTCTCTTTCTCTCTCTCTCACCTGCACTCACTCACATGCACTGGTCTTGAATGGCACACACATCGTTCCTTATGCACACATGAAAACATAGGTATGCGCGCACACACAAGCGTACCCAGATTCATGTTTCCTTTTGCCTCAGGTACGACCTCGTGCACAATCGCCATCTGCACCTCAAGGGCCTCCACGAGCTCTTCCTGCTCGCCAAGGTACGGACCAACGCGCCAAGGTATGGACCAATGCGCCAAGTTGTGGCTCTGTTACCAATTCCAGTCTCGTTCCACTGTGCCAGCGCCTGTCGCATCTTGGTAGGGTCCCTTCGATTTCCGAGGTGCGTGATGTGGCATTAGATGCGGCACTGTATTTACTTAGTATTGCTTGTAACCCGAATGCCATGAATTGCTGATACTGCTTGCTTCCAATCTGCGTATTTGCTTCCATCATGCCCTCCCATGCCACGTATTTGCTTCCATCATGCCCTCCCATGCCACGTATTTCTTCCATCATGCCCTCCCATGCCACGTATTTGCTTCCATCATGCCCTCCCATGCCACGTATTTGCTTCCATCATGCCCTCCCATGCCACGTATTTGCTTCCATCATGCCCTCCCATGCCACGTATTTGCTTCCATCATGCCCTCCCACGCCACGTATTTGCTTCCATCATGCCCTCCCACGCCACGTATTTGCTTCCATCATGCCCTCCCATGCCACGTATTTGCTTCCATCATGCCCTCCCATGCCACGCATTTGCTTCCATCATGCCCTCCCATGCCACGTATTTGCTTCCATCATGCCCTCCCATGCCATGGCACGCCACCAGGAGATGGCCAACGGCGTCATTCCCAATGAGTACGGCATCACGCCTTACAGCAAGCTCAATATTGGAGCCAAGGTTAGTCCTCTGCTCTTCTGTCTTGGGTCTGCTTCGTGACGTCTGCCGATTTGCAGCTCACGCCAGCATCCCCCCTTCAAACCCTCCCACCACCCCCTCAGGTGGCCCGGCGCCTGCTGGGCAAGTTGCTAATCGACCTGCACAACACAAGGGACGAGGCGGTGGCAGTGGGGCAGGCGATGCAGCAGCACCGGCAATGCCTCAAGGAGCAGCGCGCAGCCGCCGTGGCGGCGGCGGTGTTCAACCAAGAGCAGGCAAGGCAGCACCGCCGGTCGTCCGGCGAGGCGAAGCGCCGCTCCGATGGGCAGCCTGAGGGGGACAACGATGACAGCAACGCGCAGTATAGACTGGACCCCAAGTGAGTGCGCATCGATAGTGCTTGTGTGAACGGCTCATTCATGTCTGAGTTAGGACAGGGCTCTGTGGGTAAAGGGCAATGTTTGGACTATAGCTTCTCCTTGGACGTTTTTCATTTCTGTTGCCTGCCCCATGTCTGTGGCCCCAGGTACGCCAACGTTCGAACACCGCAGCGACATGTGCGCACTCGCCTCTACTTTACTTCCGTAAGCCCCGCACCTCTTGCGTGTGAGTGAAGTGACTTCAAGCTCAGCATTCTTAGCATCTCGCGCATCCTGTCTCTCCTCCCAACTCCCCCACCTCGCTCCATAACAACCCCTATGCACTATATACTTCCACTTCCCTGCGTTCTTTCATTTGCCCATCTGTCCATCCTCCCGTCCCCCGCAGGTGCCCCATCCCTCGGCACAGCGTGAGGAGCGTGCTTCGCTTCTGTCTCCTTCCATCCCTCCTTCCGTCCATCCTCCCATAATCCCGTGCTCCAACACCCTCCCCCCCCTCCTTTCCCCCCTCCCAGGAGTCCCACCTGCACAGCGTGATGAACGTGCTGCGCTTCTGCCAGCTGGACGAGTCCTTGCAGGGCGAGGCGCCTCTGCTGAGCCCCGACGCGCTGACGCGCCTCTATGAGATGCGCGAGCTCGACTACCTCACGCACGTGGTGCTGCGCATGTACGAGAACGTGGAGGTGCGCTCTCTCTTCCCATACCTCCTAGGTTTTTTTCCCTAAGTATTTTTCCTTGCCCCTCCATCCCCCTCTGTCCTCATCCCTCCTAACTTTCCCTCCTCGTTTTCCTGTGTCCGTTAATTAAGCTCGCGATCGTCTTGCATCGCTTGCTCCCTCTCCCCCTTCTCTGTCCCACCTCCTGCCAAGCAGGTGGATCTGAACGACCCACGTCGCTTTCGAGTGGAGATCATGTTCAGCCCGGGCTCTGCTGTCAGCCCTCTCGAGGTGCGTGCTGCTCGGCTGTGAGCCCTCTTGAGGTGCGTTGCTTTCGCTGTGGCACTTTCTATGCGAGTCACGCTTCGACGTGGGCCATGTGAGGATGTCATTCCTCTTACGCTGCGACGTGGGGCAGCCATCCCATTCTACCATCCCCCTGCATTCCCTCAGCTTGCCGTTGCTCTCCACCCCCCCCCCACAGACCTGCAGGTCGAATCCACTAAGAAGGGTCACACGTTGCCTGTGCTGCCCCCCTTCACAGTGCAGAACGGCGCCCCTGACCAGCTGACCAGGCCACGGTGGCCGCATGAACCGCATGCTCAGAGAATTCCCTCTTCCCTCCCCCCTCCCGCCCCTCCCCCTGCAGGTGGCGCAACCAGTGCCTGGGCCCTTCTCCATCCAGGAAAAGCCCCCCTTAACCCTCACCCACCCTCTGTTTCTTCCGTCCCCTGCGCAGGTGGAGCCCACCAAGAAGGACCACACGCTGCCAGTGCTGCCCCCCTTCACGGTGCAGAACGACGCGCCCGACCAGCTCACCATGCGCCGCATGGACCGCATGCTGCACCCCTTCGCCATGCCGCCCGAGGACTTCCCCCCGCCCGTGCAGCCACAGGGCTTCTCCGGCCTCTTCCTCAAGGGCACCGTCTTTGAGCGCATCGTCAGCTTCTGGCCGTTCCGCAACACCATAGGGGGCGGTAGCAAGAGCAAGGGGAGTTGCACCAGCAGCAGCGGTGCTGCCTCTGCTGCCACCGCTGCCACTGCTGCTGCCAGTGGGAGCAACACGTCGCTACCCACCCTCCCACATGCCAGCTCCAGCAGCAGCAGCATCCCAGACACAGGAGCAGCACAGGGCAGCAACGCCACAGTCACCACCAGCAGCAGCGGCAGCAGCAGCAGCCTGAGCAAGGCTGCCCAGGGCCGCTCCTCCCCCCTGCGCACCTCGTCCGGTGTTCCCCTCGTTTCCGCCTCCGACGTGCCCGCAGCAGGCAGGAGCCCCGGGGGCAGCCCCCTGAGGCTGTTTGGCAGGAGGGGGTCGGACGAAGGGTCAGGGAGCGGAGGGGGAGGGGGGCTGTGGAGGAGAGGCTCAGGGGGGCTGAGTGGATGGGGAGGAGGGGATGACGGCAGGGGAGGGGCGGGTGGTGGGGGTAGTGGGAGGGCAGCATCTGGTGCGGCGAGTCCAGCAAAGGATGGGTAGAGGGGGCCACTGCATGGGTGGACGGTGTAGTTATGGGCGGGGAACATGAGGGGCAAAGCTTCGATTTGGAAATAAAGAAAAAACGTGGGTGCCTGTCTATGTGGTATGTACCTAAGCATAGTGAGACACTGCATGCGGCAGTCTTGCCTGTTTGTCAAATTGTTCGAAAGTAGGGCGTGCCAGTATTTTCGCAAGTAATGCGTGCTACAAACAAGAAATGTAATTTTTTGAAAGTGTGTAACACTTTCTGAAAATGTGTATTGTGAGAGTGTAGCAAGGGCCAACGCAGCAAAGGCAGCGACGAAGCGTTACTCACCCTCTTTTGCCTACAAAAGAGGGACGTGAGGCCATTCGGCCTCACCCACGTTCTTCATTTCTAGTTTCTCTAGTTCAATTTCCGCTGTTTCTCGTCCAACCTGGCGAAGACCCAGTCCCTCCCCCGAGGCAAGGCTCCGACGACGCTCCTCACCGACATTTTGCAGCACAACCTCGCTAACATGGCGTCGGCGAACACGACTCCGAATCGTCCGACGAACAACCCCAACAATTCCGTGGAGCCCGGAACTTCGGCCGGGGCAACCGCCCGTCGCCAGAAACGTCCTGCTGAGGAAATTTTTGGCGAGGGTCCCTCGGCTGTCGAGGTCCTGCTTGGCGCCAATCGCGCTGCTCCAGAAGAAACTCGCGTGGCTGCGAAGCAGTCGCGCGAGCTGCCAACGGAGGACCACGCGCCTGCGCACGTCGCGACGGCTGCAGGCCACGCGGGCCCCACCGAGCACACGCCCTTTGACGAGGTCGTGCCAGCCGCCGCCGCCCCCGCGTTGATTGCACAACAGCTCCAGGCGCTTTTGGCGCTGTTACACCAGCAGCCGAATGTTACGCTCGGAACATCTTCGGACAATATAACTGCTACGACCAATTTCGCCAAGAAGAAAGAAATGCCGCCACCTACTCGCGTGCCGAAAGCTCCGCACGTCGACAACCAGCCCCCGGCACCGACTCCCGCACTCGCCAATGACACCGACGACAGCGACAACTCTGAAAACGATGATGGTGAGGCTCCTGCCAATATTGCTCGCCATCGCATTCTCGCCCCCGCCCCCCCTCTTCCCCCCCTTGGTCCCACGCCCGCAGCAACTACCTTCATGCGTAAGGCCGTGCGCGACCAGGCCGAAGTCTTCACTGCTATCCAAGCGCACCTGCAGCACATCGACTTCGAGCTGCAGCATGGCAACGTCACTGGCGCACTCAACAACGTGAAACACATCGAGACGCTTATTAATAAGCGTTTCGAGGTGCTTCTCGTAGCGGATGAGGCCGGCTTTGAGGCTGCTGATCGCTTCCAGCTCTACCAGTCCAAGAGTGTGCTGACGTCCCGTTCCTACAAGCTGGCGGCCGCCGACGTGGCTGCACTCAAGCGCGCACGCGCCATCTACCCCCGTGGTGGTCGTCCCGGCGGCCGTGACGGAGAAATGGACCTCAAAGGCTCCCCCCCTCTGACGTGCCAGCAGCCACGCTTCAAGGGCGTGTGCTTCCGCTGTGGCCAGCCAGGTCACATGGCTAACGCATGCCCCATGGGAGGGCGTGGAGCACAAGGCCCCTCACCGGTGGTGTGAGCGGGGGTAAGGGCGGTGCCCTTCGCCAATATGCAAGAAGCATATTGGGCTGCACCGGGGGTGCATGGCTGGTGGCCGGCCTTAGGACAAGGCAAATGGCCTAGTAGACTAGGGTAGCCCTAGGGGCAGAGAAGGCCGTGGGCCTAGAACCTTGTGTTATTCCATGTATGGATCATGCACGCCGTTATGGCGCATTGAAACTAAGATTGCAAAAAAAAAAAAAAAAAAAAAAAACTTTTGCAAGGCCTCGATGAAAGACAGAAAGAGAGAGAGCGAGTGAAAGAGAGAGAGAGCGAGCGAGAGAGTGAGAGAGAGAGAGGAGAGAGAGAGAGAGAGAGAGAGAGAGAGAGAGAGAGAGAGAGAGAGAGAGAGAGAGAGAGAGAGAGAGAGAGAGAGAGAGAGAGAGAGAGCGCATAAGATAAAGAGAGAGAAAGACCATAAGAGAAAGAGAGAGAGAGAGAGAGATAAAGAGAGAAAGAGAGAGAGAGAGAGAGTGAGATAGAGAGAGAGCAGAGAGAGGGAGAGAGAGAGAGAGAGCAGAGAGAGAGAGAGAGAGAGAGAGAGAGAGAGAGAGATAGAAAGAGCGAGAGAGAAAGAGAGAGAGAGAGAGAGAGAGAGAGAGAAAGAGAGAGAGAGAGAGAGAGAGAGAGAGAGAGAGAGAGAGAGAGAGAGAGAGAGAGAGAAAGAGAGAGAGAGAGAGAGAGAGAGAGAGAGAGAGAGAGAGAGAGAGAGAGAGAGAGAGAGAGAGAGAGAGTGAGAGACACAGAGAGAGAGAGAGAGAGAGAGAGAGAGAGAGAGAGAGAGAGAGAGAGAGAGAGAGAGGTGACGAAGGCTCGAGCGCTGAAGGGAGAAGGCATGAATATCAGCCATGCCCTTTTGCAATTGAACATGAGCCACTCTCGCTTTGCCAACTGAACGGGAGCTATGCCCCCCCTGGAATTGACTATGACACATCCACCCTTTAGGCAATTGTCTGGTCTCACTCACTTGGGTACCTATGTGATTCTTGCCACCCGACCCTTTGGTCCAGCAGAAATCGGGAAAGGATGGTTACACAACGAACATGACCCCTACAAGTACGCGGTTACAGACAAGGACGTAACTGTCATGCATAGTCGATTGTGTTACGCCCTACACTGGTGGTGCTCATGGTGCGATAGCAGTTTCATCCTGTCCATCATCGCGAAAGGATATTGGCTTCTCTAGAAGGAAGGCGTGCCACATGCCTTTGAGGATAGCAATCATGCTGGAGTTCACACACACCTGGACTTCACTTGTGGAGCGATTCGCGACCTCGTCACCTCGGGTGCCGCCGTCAAGGTCCCTACGAAGGACGCGCTTATGTGTGTCAGTCCACTTAACGTGGTGGAGCAGCGCGACAAGTGTCGCCTCATTCTTGACTTGCGCAAAGTCAACAACTACCTCGACATCCCCAAGTTCAAGTACGAAGGCTTGAACAGGGTAGCCGAACTCATCCGCCAAGGCGATTGGATGTTCTCCATCGACCTAAAGTCAGGCTACCACCATGTCGAGATCCACCCCTCCTGCTGGAAGTTCTTGGGATTTCAGTTCGAAGGAGACTACTATTCCTTCATATCGCTCCCGTTCGGGCTTGCCACTGCCCCGTTCGTCTTCACACAACTGATCAAACAACTGGCAAAGCGATGGCGCGCAAGCGGCGTGCGGGTTGTTCCATATGTCGACGACTTACTATTCCTCTACAACTCCCACTCGGATGCACGCTCGACCTGCGCAGCTGTTGTTCAGGACCTGAAGGTAGCAGGTTTTGTTATAAACGGCAAAAAGTCACATCTACACCCCTCGCGCCAGATAGCTTTCCTCGGCTTGGAGATTGATGCCGCCCAAGGCACCTTCTCCGTCGGACTCGAATGTCGAGCACAACTTTTTGCTTCACTCCAAGCCCTCATCGCCCAGGGACAAGAGGGACGACCGGTTCCCATCCGGTCCCTTGCGAGAATAACAGGAATGCTGGCCTCCATGAATCTGGCATTGGGCGCTACGGCATGTGCCTTTAGTCACGAGCTCCTTCGACTTATTGCAGACGCCACCTCTTGGCACGCCAAGGCACACTTGTCGTCGACAGCAGTGCACGAGTTGCATTTTTGGCTTGCGCAATTCGACAAGTTCAACGGAAACCCATTCCATCTCAGTCACCAGTTCGATGCCGTCATCCACGTCGATGCAAGCGCACACAGCTGGGGCGCCACCCTGACACAACTTCCTGGGACGCCCATTGAAGCCAGTGCTCGCATGCCCAAGGAACTACTGCCCACCTCCAGCACTCGACGGGAACTCGAAGGAGTTTTATGGGCTCTCCGAACTTTCGCTGCCCGCATACCCAAGCGACACGTGCTCGTTCGGGTAGACAATCAAGGCGTGGTATTCATCCTACGCAAAGGTGGATCGCGCCACCCCACGCTTACGCTACTATGTCAAGCAATCATTCGCCTCTGCCTGGAACACCAAACAAGGCTAGCTGTCGAATGGATCCCACGAGAGCTGAATGCGCACGCCGACGAACTTTCAAAAATCCAAGACCACGATGACTACTCCCTCAAAGCCCCGTGGTTCCGGCTCTTGGATCACCGCCTGGGTCCCCACTCTATCGATCTCTTCGCAAATGTGCACAACGCTCAGCTGGAGAGGTTTTGTTCCAAGATTCCACACCCTACAGCTGCAGTGTTTGACGCTTTTTCGTTCAGCTGGCAGCACGAGCGCGGCTTTGCGTTTCCCCCTCCCAACCTCATTCCAGCCACATTACGACATGCTAAACGCACACACGCTGAGGTGACCTTGGTCATTCCCGAGTGGCCGGGAGCATCATGGTGGCCACTCCTCCAACAGGCACCTGATGCCTGGGTGCCAGAAGTAACGGCACACATTCCCCTCACCCACGGCAGCCAATGCCTACGCCCCGGCACACACGCACTCGCTTTCGCAGGACAAGGCTTTCCTCCTAGTAAGATGATTGCACTGCATGTCACGTATAAAAATTAATAATAATTGTACTCTACGCTGTATCTTTTCAGGCATTATAACAAAGCTGCAAACACAACTGCTACACGTAATCACCCATGTCCGTGCCCCTTCCACCATCCGAACGTATGAGCCCTACTGGCTCAAATTTCGCTCCTTCTGCATGAAGGTGAAGTTGAGCTACCTGCCTGCAACGGATATGACCTTGGCACTCTACCTTATTCATGCACTAAATCACCAGGCCACCACATCTGCCATATCGCTTACATGCTCCGCCGTCGCCTTCGCGCATCGCATGACTGGCGAGCCCTCTCCCTCGACTGGACCATTTACACTACAAGTGCGCGAATTTGCCAAACGCCATGGCCCGCGCCCCACCCGGAACAAGGAACCGTTGTCGCTGCACCAAGTGCACACCATGGCCCGCCCCTTTCTAGAGTCCACCCGGCCGGCCGAATACCAGAAAGGACTCATCCCCATCCTTATGTTCGCCGCCTTCCTACGCTACTCCGACCTTGTCAGTCTCCAATGGCATGACATACAGTTTGAGCCTGAGGCGATGTGGCTGCTCATCCCGCACTCCAAGACCGACCAGGAAAGCAGGGGCACGTGGATTCCGGTCGCCGCCACTTCCGGCCCATACTGCCCGGTACGCTGCACACGACACTTTCTTCTCCTCGCGGGTCACACCTCCACCCCACACGGGCCATTGATCCGAGTCTTCAGGAACAGCAGAACGGCAACTCCACAGGACCACGCACCTTCGTACACCACCATCCGGAACTGGTGCCTTGAAGCATTCACCAGGGCCGGCCTCGATAGCGCCCACCTCGGCACCCACTCCTTTCGCAAGGGCGCTACTACAGCGGAAGCTAGCCTGGGGATATCCGACCGGCTGTTCAAGCGACTTGGCTGTTGGCGCAGCGATAATGCCAAGGAGCTCTACGTTACCATCGCGCATGACCAACTCCTTTAAGCCTCCACGCAACTCCAAGACGCAGCCACCGCTCCTACGCCCAATCAGCACCAGCTATCTATTCAACGCCACCGCCAACCCCTTCTGCACATGTCTCAGAAGACCCAGATGAAATGAAGCACGCTGCCTTTACAAGAGGACCTAAGCAAGCTTTCACAATATGTAATTTTTTTAAAGTGTGTAACACTTTCTAAAAATGTGTATTGTGAGAGTGTAGGGAGGGCCAACGCAGCAAAGGCAGCGACGAAGCGCTACTCACCCTCTTTTGCCTGCAAAAGAGGGACGTGAGGCCATTCGGCCTCACCCACGTTCTTCATTTCTAGTTTCTCTAGTTCAATTTCCCCGCCCACCCACCCTCTTGTGCGTAGTTCTTTGTTGGACGAGAACCATGTATGTTTCCCAGATGAAATGAAGCACGCTGCCTTTACAAGAGGTCCTAAGCAAGCTTTCACAATCTGCTGGTGTTATCTGGCTAAGGAAAGGAACGATGAAGTGCGTATGGCACTAATCTATGAGGGGAATAGCTATTGTCTAGTTGGAGACTCGTTTGTGTCATGTGTAAAGGCGTTCTCGTTATAGCATCCCTCTGTGCCACGTCTCAAGCGCGTCACTACACGTCACACACCATGCGGCACAGATGCATGTCGGTCAATGCTGCTAGGTTTCTTGGGAGTGACGGAAAGGGCCGACCAGAAGGTTCAGTCGTAGAGCGCGGTGCACAAGGCTGGCTCTCAGAGGTGCTGCTCACTCCGAATCGACTGCTGCTTGCGTGGCATTCAGCCCCCGCATGTTCGCTCGCTGACACTCGAGCATACTTCCTGCTGGCTTGCTCGTGATTCCGCGTTTTTCGCCCTCACCGTTCAGACATCCATGCTCGCTGCGTCGTCGCCGCGTCTCCCGCCGCTTCTCCCGCCGCTCAGCCCGTCGTTCGCCGCTCGTCCTCCCCTCGCGCGCCCTCCCTTCATGGCCTTCGCCGCTCGCCTCCTCTCCTCCTCGCTCGCCTGCCCACGCGCCCTCGCCACGTCGCGCGTCTCCCGGCTGTACCGGCCCTACATCGCCCTCCCGCCGCGTGCGACCGCCACTGCGACCGCCGCTTGCGTCGCCACCCGCAGCCGCGTGGGTTCCACCGCCGTCGCACAGCGCAGCCCCGTCGTCGCTGCCGCTGCCGTCTCCGACCGTCCCGCGTCCCCTCCTCCCCCTTCCGCCACCTGCTTCACTCTCGGCTCGGCGCGTTTCGCTTCGGCCCCGCATCTTCCGTCGTCTGTCGCGCCGCGAGTGGCGCTGCGAGCAGGCGGAGCAGCGTCGGAGCCGCTTGAGCGGAGCGAGAAGCGGCGCGGCGTGGCGACGATGGCAGCGACGCCGTCCAACGCGGAGACGACGGGCAGCGCAGAGGAAGGTGAGCGGTGGTGAGCGGTGGTGAGCGGTGGTGAGCGGTGGTGAGCGGTGGTGAGCGGAGATGAGAGATGGCGTCGTCCTTTGAGAGTAGGAATTCCTTGCCCTCCGTCCCCACCCACCCATCCCCCGCCCACTCTCCCCATAACAGGCTCTTATACTCCCTCCGACCACCCCCCACCCCGGCCCTCCTTCCCCCCCGGCCCTCCTTCCCCCCCGTGCCCTCCTTCCCCCCCGTGCCCACCTCCTCGTCATCTTTCCAATGTTCCTCCGTCGTGCCCTTGCTAGTCACGGCCCGTCAATCCCATCTCCACGACACGCCCCGTCAATCCTTTCAGCCGTTACCAAACCACCTGCTCGCCTTTGACACCCACCTCGCCCAGCTCCCGCCGCTCGAGCTGTGCAGCCGCCGTCACCCAAATGCGCCGTGCTGCTCCTCTCACGCCTCTCAACCCCCTCCCCCTCCCCCACGCCTCTCTCTCCCCCTCCCCTCCACCTTTCCCTTCCGGCACGCCTCCATGCCGCTTCCCTGCTCGCCTATCTCCTCCCTGCCCTCTCGCCCCAGCCCCCCTGGCGGCGCGTCGCTGTGTGCCGTGTGAGGGCAAGGGGCTGCTGCCTCTGGCTGGTGACCACATTGCAGCACTCCTGGAACAGGTGGGCGCTCGTTGCTGTGGGTGTGTGCTGCCACGGGTGTGTGCTGCCACGGGTGCAAGTTGATGAGCTGTTGCAGTGCGCTGTGTGGGGGCTCCCTGGCCTCTCTCTACTACTGCGGCATGTGTCCCATGACCATACGGCCACCTCAGTTATGTGAGCGCGCATGGCGTTAACTGTGTGTCTGTGCATGCCGTCCATCAGGTACCGGGGTGGGAGGTGGTGGAGGAGGGCGGCTACCAGCGCATCCGCCGCAAGTGGCGCACCAGGAACTTCCTCGCGGGCGTGAAGCTCTTAGAGCGGGTGGCAGAGGTGGCCGAGGCTGAAGGTGGGTGGCGCGGGGTGATTTGGCTGCATGTCGTCTGCTGCGCGATTGGAGATCTTGAGCAAGCTGCGGGCCTCGCAAGGGGCTCAAGTCGTTGTGAACTGCTTCCAGTGGCAGACATATTTTGAGCGTACTAAGCCACATTCTGGACTAGTGCAATTATATTCTTTCTTATGGACTGAGTAAATTTGCTGTGCTCCGTTGTGGCGCATGTCTTGGTTCGCACAGCATTTGGGATGTTCCGTGAATGGCATATGCCCTGCACCATTCCATGTGTCCGGGATTCTTGCGTCATGCCATGTTGACTGCATGCCATGTTGATTGCATGCCATATTGATTGCATGCCATGTTGACTGCATGCCATGTTGACTGCATGCCATGTTGATTGCATGCGATGTTGACTGCATGCCATGTTGATTGCATGCCATGTTGATTGCATGCCATGTTGACTGCATGCCATATTGACTGCATGTGATGTTGACTATATGACATGCTGGGTGCATCCCATGTTGATTGCAGGCCATCATCCGGACCTCCATTTGGAAGGATGGAACCATGCGCGGATCGACATCTACACACATGCCATCGGTACAGTTGACACATAGACATGACATCGGTACCGTTGACATATGGACGTGCCATCGGTACAGTTGACACATAGGCATGCCATTGGTACAGTTGACACATAGGCATGCCATCGGTACAGTTGACACATTAGCATGCCTGTCGTATAGTAGAGGTTCAACCTATGCCATTTGTTATTATGTTCACCATGTCATCGTTGGAAGTCTAACATGCAAGTGGGTCGGATCCCCCCAGTGATCTTTGGGGAGGGGCGATGGCGCTGGCCTCCGGTGTGGTAACGTGGGAGCACTGGCATGCCAACACCATGGGCTCTTGGCATGGCTGGCGGCAAATTGCGTTTACCAACAGCTTATTGCGCATACTCATGCCCTTGCCCTCCATGTGCGTTCTCCTTGCAGGCGGGCTGCATGAGAACGACTTCGTGCTGGCAGCCAAGATCAACGGCCTCCACATCGAGGACTTGCTGCGGAAGCCAAAAACGAAGATAACTGGTTGAACGCGTGCACGCCATGTATTTAGCAGGAAGTGGCTTTTTGTGATTGTGTTGTGAGATTGCAAGGCATTGTCATGTGTTTTGTAAATAGTGTCCGCGTAAAACTTAAAGCGAGACGTCAAAATAGTGAAGGCGGGTCTAACTTGAAAGGGCCCAGACGTCCGTTCTTGCAACTAAGGGACAAAACTGCAACGGGGCAGAGGGTACACTGTCGAGAAATGCGAGCAGGGGAAATTGGGCGAGAAGAGGCAGTTACCTGATTGGTTGGCGGCGGGAAACACATGACGTACGATGGGAAACGTGGCTCAGGAAAAATCGCAAGCAGCGCGCCACCTGTCGCCCAGGCCCCACTGCCTGTAAGCTGCACCAAGTGGGCCCAATCTGAATTTCAAGTTGTTGGGCTGAGAAAAGCCCTTAGGATCTTCCAGAGACTAAGTCCCACTCGTACAAAGTTTGAGTAGTGCAGCGGAAGTATTTGAAGTAAATCGTCTGGTGTTGCAGGAGACTAAGTGTAGAATCTGCTAACACGAGTATTTAACCAAGGATCTTTGCTGGAATGGTAGACTAGTAAGACAGCGGAAGTCTTATCAGAGTGAACCTGAGCACATGTGTTCAAATTATATAAGTTATAATTTAATATAGGCTTGGTAGGTTGTTACTGAACCTTTCTGTAGGGGGTACAAACCCCTCCTTGTACTCCTCTCTCTTCCTAATCCAACCCCCTACTTTCTCGTCAACTTCTCTCCCCCGCTCCTAGATCTACTTTCCTCACGCCATTCCATGGCGTCCTTCCTTGCTTCCTAGCTAAGCTAGGTTCCTAAGTTTAGTTCCTATCCTAAGCTTCTTTGATATGGTATCAGAGCAGGAGATCCTCCCTGTTGGACCGCCTCCTCACGCTTCCGCCATTTACTCCTCACTCTCATTCGCTCGAGCGGCCATGGCGGCCGCGTTTTGCTGCAGTGGCGACGTCGCGCTGCCGCTGGCCGCGTCGTGCCGCGACCGGCTCGACGCGCTGCCGCGGAGTCGGGCCGTCGTTCTGCAGTTGCAGCGCCGACGTCCCGCTGCGGCATCGACGCTGCCTCTGCCGTCGCGACGTCGACGTCCTGCTGCAGCGTCGACGTCGCTCTGTGACGGCGCCGTCGGGCCGCAGCCGGTTGCGCGACGCCTGTGACGCCGCCACCGCCCGCACGCCATCACGCTCACGACCTTTCGCGCCACACCGGGGGCTGCTGTCGGCCCGCCCCCTCCCCTCCCCCCCCCACCTGCACCTGCTTCCCCTGCATCCCCCCCCTTTCTTGCTGCAGCCGATGACTGCCTCATGAGGGCCCTCTCCACCGCCGAGGAGACTGGACATGCCGCCGAGAGGGCGGGGGCCGCTGCACCGGCCTCTGACATTCAAGCCGCCGCCGCAGCCGCTGTTGCCGCGGGCCTGGTGTCGCCGCACGCCGCCGACGCCGCTGTTGCCGCAGGCCTGGTGCCGCCGCACGCCGCTGCCGCCGCCGCTGTCGTCACTGTCGCCGCTGCCGCCATTGCCATCTCACGGGCCGTGGGAGCTGCCCTCTTCCGGAGTCGTTGCGGCTCCTGCTGGGAATGGGGGTGCTGGGCTAGGGGGTGTGGGTGTGGGTGTGGGTGTGGGTGTGGGTGTGGGGGTGTGAGTGGGCTTGACACTACCAAGCCTAGGGGGTGTGTTCAAATTATATAAGTTATAATTTAATATAGGCTTGGTAGGTTGTTACTGAACCTTTCTGTAGGGGGTACAAACCCCTCCTTGTACTCCTCTCTCTTCCTAATCCAACCCCCTTCTTTCTCGTCAACTTCTCTCCCCCGCTCCTAGATCTACTTTCCTCACGCCATTCCATGGCGTCCTTCCTTGCTTCCTAGCTAAGCTAGCTTCCTAAGTTTAGTTCCTATCCTAAGCTTCTTTGATACATGAACTTGTGGGTAGTCGAAGGTTGAATAACCTGAGCACATAATTCTGTGTAAAGTCAAGGTTGTTGGAAATACCTCAAAGGACTTAAGCGTTTCTGAAGTGTAACACTACACTCGAGGAAGATCGCAACGGGTACGCGAGTCAACGGAGGTTACACGAGGGGATGGACAAAGAACGCAAAGGGACTCGAAGGGTCGCAACTGGAGGTTGCGACTGACCGTTACAACTGCACGAATGGTAACCGAAGCGACAATCGAGTCGCTGTGCGACTCGATAAACCGCTCCTGCAACTGTATTCTACAACTGCTTTACTTTCCTATTTTCTATATATTGCTGTATGCTTGCTTCTTTAATCAATCACTTGTTCTCATATACTAGTACAAGGGTTCAACTACTCAACTTCCGCTGCACTACTCAAGTCTCATTCTTCAACTGGGACTTAGTCTCTGGAAAGATCCTAAGGGCTTTTCTCAGCCCAACAAAGGTTAATAATAGAAAGGCATTACTAGGATTTATAGCTCTAGGGAAAATACCTATTCGCTAATGTACCTGTTCGTCACTATCGCGCTATGCGACCTATTCGTTATACTATAGGGTCGCGACTGTTCGCGTGACTGAAACGACTCGTTGCGCCTATTCGCGTAACTGAAGCGGTATGCTGACGTCATCCCAAGACCCGCGATGCTTTGCTGACATCAGCACTCGGGCATGGTTACTTACTGAGAAACTCGATGCTGCTAACTACACTGAAAACGGAACTTGCAGGAATGCAAAACTTCAATGATCACAACACTCCCCTTCATTCCTGGAAGTTCGATGTAGTCACGTCGTGGTTGAAGTCCGGCGAATGAAATCTGCAACTTGGAATCTTGTGACGTGTAAAATTCATGTGCTGTAAGTAGTCGGCGGTCATTCCATTGGTCAAATGGTAGACCAATCGCGCTCTTCCCTTGTTGATAACGAATTTTGGCTTTGACGAAGTGCGTGTAGATCCTCCTTCCCCCCCTCAGTTCGGCAGCGTAAAAATGAGTCGTGTTGAAAATGGTTGGGGTTGCGCCAATGAACGTGGCAAGGCCGAAGGGTATGAATGCAAAAACATGAGAGTGTTGCACGTGGTGTAGAGGAGGCTCCACATCTGTTGGAGGCTTAAAAAAGAACAGTGAAGAAACGGGCAGATCTGATGGTGCAGTTTCGAGCAGAGAAATTCGTTGAGTCAGCAGTGCACGCAGCTGCTCACGTAGCTCGTGTAGGGAACTGTTCAACCCTTCTGCTCCGTTGCATTCTTGAACGCGATGATGAAGGTTTTGATGACGAATGATGCCGATGCCTTGCTCGTAGTCGTTGGAGGTCGTAGTGTGGTAAGCGGCTGCTCTGTAGTATAGGAAAGTCTGCAGCGGGGTACTGAGCTCGCTTGCTGCTATGGCCAGCCAAGCAAGGAGTAAGACGGTGAAATATGAAGGAAGTAAAAGCCTTGATAGTGCATAACCTTTTTCAGATACAGTGGTAGTTGAAGATGTTTCTGCAGGCTTGTCGAGACTGGTTGTTGAAGAATTGTTAGAAGGTTTGTCGAGAGTAGTTGTAGCGTCGAAGAATTTTTCAGGAGCGGTTTGCAGGGTTTCCTCGTGTTCTTGACTAATATCTTCCTGGATATTAATGGCAGGTGTGTCGGCAAGGATGTCGATGGTGCTGCTACTCGGAGTCTCTTCTTCGCTGCTGCTGAAATCAATCGGTGGAGTGGTGACCAAAGCTACTGCTGCGATGATTGAAGGAGCTTGAAGAGGAGCGGCATCTTCAGAAGGTTTTGCTGCCTTGAAGCGTAAGACACATACGCCATTCTTTGTTGCTGCTCTTCCGATGTACGTGTTGTCCACGTCATGTATTAGCTCTTGCTCTTGTGTCGTGCAGTTTCCGACCGTGCGGATTTTCTTCTTCAAGAGTTGAAGAGTTGACACTAAATTGAAGCCAAGATTGTCGACGAGTAAAACGCTGGTAAGGCATAAAGACTTTCTCGTATCGATTGATGTCAAAAGTAGACTGCCGATATTTTTTGCTGAAATTGTTTGACCGTTGGCGAGTGTGATTGGGCAGGATTGAAGAAGTCGACGACGGTTGTAGATGAAAGGATTGGTTGAAGAGACCATATGATGGCCACAACAACTATCCAAGTACCAAGTATCGGAATCTGTATTGCAACCAGCCATGTGAGTGTTTGAAGGTGGTAAGAATTTTTTTGAAGTTACCGTATTGTTGGCAGAGTTTGAATTATTTTCTGTCGGCTTTGATGAGTTGCTTGGAGGTGTAGAACTGAGTGTCGTTGATAGTGTTGATATTGCAGATGTTGCTTTTGGAGGCGCATGTTGCTGAAAGAACTGCTTCGAAGGCTGATGTAGCAGCTGGGATGATTGCGTCCTCTGCGATTCTTCAGGAGGTAAATACCTCTTGTTAAAGTAGTATCGGTCAGTAGAATGTCCTCCCTTGTTGCAAATTTGACAGAAGTGTCGAGGACGTCGAGTTGGTGTTGAATAGAAACTGAGTTGTATATCCCCTCTTTTGTTGCGTTGTGACTGCAGGTCAAGATCTTGCTGTTCTGCTTGAAGATACGCAGAAATTTCGGCTTCGGAGAGGTACTGATTCATACGCAGGAAGGCGCGCGTCTGTCGCCATTCGGGTCCAAGGTCAGCAAGAAGGACCGTGAGATACATCTCACGAGGGAAGTATCCTCCACTTTTCTCAAGTTGATCTCGTAGTGTACGAACGCGATTGACGTAGTCCATGACGTTTTCATTTGTCATCATCTGCACATTTGTCAGCTGCGAAAGTATTTTACTCACTGTTATCGTATCCCGCGCCATATACACCCCTTTTAAGTGTCTCCATGCAGTTTCAGCAGGTGTAAAACTTGAATGAAATGATCGAACGCCGAGCTGCTCCTTCGGCGATAGATTTTGAACAAGAACTGTATACGCCCCGAGAGAAGCGTGCAAGAAACTCTGCTGCTCCAGTTGTGTTCCCGTAACAGGATAGGTGAATTCGCCGGTGAAGAACGCCCAAAGCCCGGCGGACTGCGCCAGAAGTTCGAACTCGAAGCTCCTGGAGTAAAAATCCACTCCATTAAAAGGTACGGTCATCTTGATCTGAGTATTGTTAAGTAAATTTGGAGGCTGAAAAACAATACCCGGCTGTTGCTGCTGTTGCTGTTGCTGTTGTTGCTGTTGTTGCTGTTGTTGCTGTTGCTGTTGGAATTGCTGTGGTTGCTGCTGTTGTTGCTGAGCAGGGGAATGACCGAAGATGTAGAAGGGCCGCTGATGCTGCGACTGTGGCTGCTGCGTAAAAGGTGAGAAGGCAAATGAGCCAGTGCTTGGAGCTGAAGCTCCTCGCATGTAACTCGAGCCGTCAAGGCTCATTCCACTGAACGCTGACGATATTGATTGCGTTGAAACTGGTGGCTGTACTGACGCTTGTTGCTGTGCTGTTGTCTGTGATTGTTGTTGTTGCGCTGCAGGTGCAGTTGAAGTAACACCTGGAGTGTAAACAGAAGGCGGATTCTGCTGTTGCATACCGATATGAGTGTAGGCTGATGGAAAGTGCCCAGAGGCTGAGAGACCAGCGGCGGTAGTGGAGGCATGTGCTCCAGTAGTCCCAGTAACTGATCCAGCAGATGGTGCTGGTGATGAACCAGTCATAGTTGACGGTAGTCTTAATTCCAGATAGCTCTCATACCATGAAATAAATCGTCTGGTGTTGCAGGAGACTAAATGTAGAATCTGCTAACACGAGTATTTAACCAAGGATCTTTGCTGGAATGGTAGACTAGTAAGACAGCGGAAGTCTTATCAGAGTGAACCTGAGCACATGAACTTGTGGGTAGTCGAAGGTTGAATAACCTGAGCACATAATTCTGTGTAAAGTCAAGGTTAATAATAGAAAGGCATTACAAGGATTTATAGCTCTAGGGAAAATACCTGTTTGCTAATGTACCTGTTCGTCACTATCGCGCTATGCGACCTATTCGTTATACTATAGGGTCGCGATTGTTCGCGTGACTGAAACGACTCGTTGCGCCTATTCGCGTAACTGAAGCGGTATGCTGACGTCATCACGAGACCCGCGATGCTTTGCTGACATCAGCACTCGGGCATGGTTACTTACTGAGAAACTCGATACTGCTAACTACACTGAAAACGGAACTTGCAGGAATGCAAAACTTCAATTATCACAACAGTATTGAGTAGTTGAACCCTTGGACTAGGATGTGAGAGCAAGTGATTGATTAAAAGAAACAAGCATACTGTTGAGTGACCCGCTGGGGTTGCCCTTGAGATCCTCGGGGAAGGGCCACAGGTGTAGAGCCTGGGGGGCTATGGGCGCACTGACCCACTATTAACAAGCCCTTTTAACCCAGTGGTTAGTGACTAGGTTCTTGACATGGTACATCAGAGCCAAAGATCTTGGGTTCAACTCCTAATGCCAACGCTGCAGAGGCGCTCGTGTCTTCCACCTATCCCAGCGGGGGGGTGTGTTGAGTGACCCACTGGGGTTGCCCTTAAGATCCTCGGGGAAGGGCCACAGGTGTAGAGCCTGGGGGGCTATGGGCGCACTGACCCGCTATTAACAAGCCCTTTTAACCCAGTGGTTAGTGACTGGGTTTCTGACACATACAGCAATATATAGAAAATAGGAAAGTAAAGCAGTTGTAGAATACAGTTGAAGGAACGGTTATCGAGTCGCACAGCGACTTGATTGTCGGTTCGGTTACCACCCTTGCATTTGTAACGGTTAGTCGCAACCTCTGGTTGCAACCCTTCGAGTCCTTTTTCGTCCTTTCGAGTTCTTTCATCCATCCCCTCGTGTAACCTCCGTTGACTCGCGTACCAGTTACGACTTTCCTCGAGTGTAGTGTTATACTTCAGAAACGCTCAAGTCCTCGAGATATTTCCAACACTCCCCTTCGTTTCTGGAGTGCTGACGTGTCCGGATTCGGTGACGTTTATCTGCCCGGTCAGCAGCATGCAGTAATCAAACTTTGCATTCGCCAGTTTCTTCGTCAAGTAATCTACAGCCATTTCTGTCGTAGGGCAGTAACTGAGTTGAAGTCTTCCTTTCGCGATCTCATCCTTGACGAAGAAGTACCGCAGGGCGATGTGCTTGGTTCGATTGGCGAACCCGTCTTTGTTTGCGATTTTTATCGCGGATTGGTTGTCGCAGAATAGCGAGAAGGCGGGCATGGTCGCAATTTTCGCTTCCTCGAGCAGCTCCTACAGGTAAAGTCCTTCTTTGGTTTTCAGTGCAGAGGGCGATATATTCCGCTTCAGCCGAAGATAGCGCGATTAATTCCTGTTTGCTTGATTGCCAGGAGATAGTCCCGATAGGTTCTAGTCGGTAGATTTAGCCCGTTCTGGAGCGACGGTTCTCCCTATCTCCTGCGTGGTCGGCGTCGACATAGCCAAGTAGTTGTACGGATGATGTTGTTACTTTGCTGTAGGTAAGTCCAGTCGTCGGTGTAGAGACGAAGTAGAGTAGTGTCGCCAGCTGCTGCTTTAGAGTACGGATGAGTCGTCGATTTAGTTCCTCGAGATCCACTTGCTCCGGCTGCTTTAGGTGTGTCGCCAGTTGGCTTGCGCTGTAGGACAGGTCCGGTCGGCAAGTTACTGCTGCGAACAGTAGACAGCCGAGCTTCTGTTGATATTCCTGGATTTGCTTCGTGGGGAGTTTTGCGGAGGTGTCGCTGTTGTTCCCGTAGCGGTAGGGAGTTGCGACTGCGACTGGCGTTAGGTCAAATTTCTTCGCGACAACGCCTGCGTATTTTCCGGCGTGTAGGTAGAGCGCTGAGCCGTCTTCGACGATGTTTAGACCGAGGTATTGGCTCACGGTGTCTGACACCGTGAGTGTTAAATCCCTCTTCAGCTCCCCTTCGAACCAGGTGATGATGTCGGTAGTGGAGCCGACATAGAGTAGGTCATCGACGTAGACGATGAGTAGGACGAAATCCCCCTCCTTCTGTAGTCGGTACATGCCTTGATCGTGCGGCAGTTGCAGAAAGCCGATCCTGACGAGGCGGTCGTGGAGGTGCTACTGCCAGAGCCGCGGAGCTTGTTTAATTCCGTAGAGGGATTTCACCAGCTGGCACACCTTTGTGGGATCGTCGATGAATCCGTGGGGCTGTTGGATGAAGATTTCGGCGTCCACAGGTGCATACAGGTAGGTGTTGGCGACATCGATCTGGCGCAGTGGTATCTTTTTTGTGGCCGCGACGACGAGCAAAATGCGTAGGGAAGTGTGTCGGGAAACCGGGGCGAATGTCTCCATGTAGTCGGTTCCATATCACTGGTCGAATCCTCGTACGACTCAGCGAGCTTTGAAGCGGTCCATGGAGCCATCCGCATTGGTCTTGATGCGGTACACCCATTTCCCCGAGAGCACATTTTTCCCGTTGGTTTTTGTCGCAGATACCAGCTTCCACGTGTTTCGGTCTTGCAGGGCCTTCAGTTCCTTTTCCATTGCTTCTTTCCATTTCGCCTTGTGTTCCCCCCCCAGAGCCTGAGACAGAGTCGATGGCTCGCGCGGTGACAGCGATGGCGGGCTCTGGACGGCGACCCATAGTCCAAGTATCTGCAGGCCCGTGTGTGTGTGCCGAGGGGAATTGTCATTCTCGGGATAAACTGCTTTGTCACCGTCTTCGGGGTCGGGTAAGAAATTGGGTCCGACGCTTTCAGAGATATTTGTGTCGACCGGTTGAGGTGTAGCGTAACCCTGGTCAGCGAAGTGGTAATAGGTGTCGAGGTTGTTACTATCGAGAGGATTGTCGTCGTCGAGTGGAACGGGCATGGAGCAGTAAGGGAGTGGTCCGGCAGCTTCCGAGGCTTCAGGTACGTCTTCTTCTGCTGCGTCAGCTTCGGCAGCACGGTCGGCAAAGGACCGATGGCCCTCGAAGCTGTCGGTGGGGTCGTCTGTGTTGGCGATGTTGTCCAGGTAATGTTGCAGTGTCAGTCGCTCGTAGAAAATCACATCATGTGAGGCCACGGTGGTTATGTTCTGAATGTCGAGAAGTTTCCATGCTTGGAAATGATTTGCGATGCCGAGGTGTAGTCCCCACAATGCTCGTTGAGAGAATCGACCAGCTCGGGCTGTGTGGGGTCTGTACTGTACCATGCAACCGAAGACTCGAAGTAATTTTGTGCTGCCCTGTTTTCCTGTCCACACCAGGTGCGGTGATGCGCTGTTGGGAAGTGAAGACAAGGACAGCAAATTGTGCAGGTGGACTGCATGCGTCATCGTGTCAGACCAAAGCGTGTTGGGCAGTCTCATCCCCAGGAGCAGCTTCCGCATCGTCGTCTGCAAGGTTCGGTTCATCCTCTCTGCAACCCCTTACTGCTGGTGAGCGTAGGGCAAGGACACCGGGCGTTTGATGCCTCTTTCTGCCAAGTAGTTCCTGAATCGTTGTGACTGGTACTCTAGTGCTCCGTCTGACTGAAGCTTTTGAGTTGCGAGCCTGATTCTCGTTCAGCGATGGGCAGCCATGCCGTGAAGGCTTCGAATGCTTGATCTCGTGTCTTGAGGTTGTAGTGCCAGATGTATCGTGTTGCTGCGTCGATGAACGTTATAACATAGTTGTACTCTGCTTCACTGTCATCTCGAGGCATATTTAAGATGTTGCTGTAGACTTTTTCCATCGGTGCGTATGCAGGTGTGCTTGGATTGTGGTGCGACGGAAAAGGTTGGTGGGGAAGATCGGCTTCGGGGCACGTGAAGCATCGTGCGCGGGGTCGTCGAAGTTCCTGGCCGCTTGTTGTGAGAAGAGCGTTCTTTTCTAACACTCCGGCTTGTATGGTTTGTAGCACTGTGTTGTTTGCAGGATGTCCGAGGCGTTGATGCCAGATGTCGTCGGGAGCGCGATGGCCGGGTGAGCGCTGGTACATGTCGGCGTTGGAGAAGGAAGCGACGACCGTTGCAGGACTGCGGCAGACTCCTCGGGTGATGGGCATGAGTTGATCTGCTTTGGATGGCGGTCCACAAATTGCTGGTGGTGGCATACGGCTGGGTCCTGCTGCTACTACAGGTGATGTCATGTGAGGGATGCTTGATGGTACTTGTCGTTCTTGTCGGATGACTGCTAATGCTCGTGTTCTTTTTGCTTCAGGGATGGTGTTGGAGTACCAGAACCCATCTGGAGTAAAGTCGGGGTCAAGATCTGGCGGGTGCGTCCAGGCGGCGAACGACACAATGCCATCGCTGTCGGCAGTACCGGGGTCGGGGACGAAGTCCAGCACGAAGACGCCCGACTTCAAGAGAGCGCAACCGATGAAGAGGCCGCCCTTCCCGTGGTAAAGGCGAAACTCGTTGTCGTCCGAGTCGCATTCCAGGTGAATCCCCTTCGCCATTAACTGGCTGACGCTGAGTAGATTGTATCCCAAGTTGTCGACGATGAGAACTTTATTGAGTTGTAGTATGACGTTTGTCTCCATTGACTGGAGCTGAACGACGCCTTGTCTGTTTGTCTTCAGGTTCTCGTTGTTGGCGACGGTGATGATGACATCGCGGTTGAGATGTCGCTCTCGTTGCACATATGTTGGCCGCAACAGCTGTCCAAGAACCAGGTGTTTCGCCCGGTGGGTTCGGCGTTGGCGACTGCAGCATACGTCGGGTTAACCTGGAGACCTTGTGAACGTGGAGGCGGCATTTCTTCTTCGTCTGGAGTGTAAGTGGGTGGTGACTCGGGTCTGCAGCTGTCGAT